GTATTGGGCTAATTATGAATTATTTATCAAATTCTTCCCCTTGGAGCAATGTGCTGCCACTCCAGGTAGCAGTGTCTGTTTTGAGTGAAAGAATGAGGATTCACCTGTGGGCTGCTACAATGGTAAGCTATACTGTACTTCTGTTTGATAAGGTTTCACTTGCAGCCATTATTTATGTGTGGGACATGGATTTACTGAACGCACATGAGTGCAGGGTGCCTATTAACATTGCTATCTCACTGAGAATGATTTGGTCCTTGACTTTTCTGCTCTTTAAATTAAAGTGGGAATGCTATTTTTGACGCCCAGGCATTGCTGGAAGCGGGCCTTTTTTCGCCATCTCATGCTCAAGTACGCTCTTATGATCTTATCATTAGCACATTATGCATCTTTCATTAATGTGGAAACCAAGAGGGAAGAGCTTAAACTGTGTTGTTCGTACTTAAATGTTTGCTTGGAGAGGCGCAACAAGTAAGAAATTGTAAAATTGTGGTCGTGATGTTGCTTTGGGAAAAGGGTATTTATAGGAGGTGCTACGCTGACTGCTGAGATTTATTGTGCTGATAGCCAAGGAATGTGAAGGTCCAAAATTCCAAATGCACACAACTTTGATCTCAAACCAATCCAAAGATATGCTCACTGAGGACTTGCAAAGAAATTTTTTTCCAAAGGGAGTATCCTGCAAGAAACTCGGTATTGCTTACCATTACCCTAAAAATTGTGCAGATTACTATGGGAGCTACTTTTTGGTGTAATTTTTAGAGTATGTGTAGAATGTAGATGTTTGCCTGTCTTCCATAGACTATAAGAGTATGTTAGTGGGAAGTTGGCTGAAACTGTATGTGTAGAAATAAATCCTTAATAAATACTCACTTCGTTTGGAATAAATGATCAAATTTTCTTATAATTATGAATATACACAAATCTGCCAAATGGGAATTCAAAATTGTTGCTCTATCTATGTACTCTGTATTATATATTTTTTCCTATTAATTCAAATTATTTGAATGGTTATGGTATGCTCTTATTGACATGAACATATCGGGAAATGGACCCTTTTCAATTTGCCTTTAACGTCATTTTGATAGATGTGTTTCTTATACATGTACTAGATTACCGTTTGTGGAGGAACGGAGCCCTCATATAGTACAAGCAAGTATTATGACTGGCATTAGTTCAAAGTTTACACCTACATAATTTTATGTAACAAAGAAAAGAAGATAATACTTTAGTTGATGTTCTATTGCCAATGCTCAAGTATAATTGAGGTTTATCTAAGGTTAGAGCCATTCGTGAAAGGCTAAGTACTCTAACGAGTTTTGAACGATTTTTGTTCATCATGAGAATATACTTCGTGTATGGTATCCGAAGACACATGAAGCAGTCCAAGGGGGCAATTTGGAGGTATCTTTGAAATGTTAGGGGCTGTAATGAACCACATTGATCAGTATAGTTAGAAACTTTAGCAGTTGAGCTTCATATTGTCATGTGTACAGATTTCAATTGAGGACAACGAAATTTGGTGAATTTAATGCCATGACTTCACTTTTTTTAAGTGTACAGTTTGAGCAAAATGGCAATCAACAAGCAATCAAAAGCACTGTTTGTTTAGCGTGCTGATTCTCTTTCTCTATCCTGCAGTTTGCAGTTTATGTGATGTTCTCTCTCTACTCTGAGCTTTTCTATAATTGTGTGTGGCTGGGGATTTTCTGGAGGCCCTTATCTCTCGCTCTCTCTATAAATTATGTGCAGATGCCGAAGCTGAAGATACGCTATCTCATGTACTCCGTATCCAACAATAATCCAAACTTGAGCCATGTGGGGTGAGCCGGTGAGGTGCGAGGTTAACGAGTGAGAAAATTGGTGGGACTCGAAATAAATAGGTTGTGAGAGTAAAATGATGGAGCCTCAGTTTATCTTCGTGATAAACAAAAATCGTTTACGGGTGGTATTTTCGTAATTAAATCAACAAAACATTCCAGTCAATATGACGTTTTCGTAAATAAATCAACATTTGTGAAACCCGCATTTAATAAAAGTTGACTTTTACAAAAATGTCACTTGATAAGCACTTTTTTTTTTAATAAATAGTAAAAAATTCATTAATAAAAAGTCATACGACATGTACAAAAGAGATTCGGCTTTAACAAATATATAAGATATTGAATCAAATAAAAAATTCCTTCATAAAAATTACGATCGTCGAGTAGATCTTGCACTGTGGAAAATCTCCCGCTTATATTGCTGAAAAATACAACCTTGTTGGAAAGACAATCTAACGATCCTTTGTAACTGTGAGGATGTTTTCCTTCTGATTCATCTATCTGTATTCGAAAGCTTGACCCTTGCGATCTCGCATAATTTTTCACCAACGAAATAATTTCACAACAATCCATTAGATCTAATGTCATGGATTCAAACCTAAAAAGATTCTCCCCTAAAAGTGGAGATAAACCTTGTCTTTCGAAGGAGATTGGAAAACCATTTCTTTCGAGGGAGAAAAGTTCCTCCCAAAATGAGGAAGCATTATAATAACCTAAAAAATTTTTTTTAAAGAAACAAGGCTGGGGACTAAAATCGATGAAAGCCCCTTTAAAAAACAACAATGGAGGCTAGGGTTGAGAAGAGAGGAAGGAGGATAGAGGAGAGAAATTTTTTTTTTTTTTAATTTATTTATTTATTTATTTATTTTTACTTAGTGCGTATATAAACACTTTTTTGTTTATCATGAAGATAAACCTGTATGAAGTTATGATATGCGGCAAGCTCAAAGAGATACAAAGTATTAAAAAAAAAGGGAAAAAGGAAATAAAAGTTTAATTTTTAATTCATTACAACACCCTATATTCATATAATCCGACTTTATTTATGTGTATTTTTTTTTTTAAATTTGTTGCGCGCAAAACAAAAGAAAAAAATTGAATTATTTAGAGAAAATTTTCCTAAGTTAGATATTATTGATACTCCGTAGATGGGTGGGATTATTCCAATACAACCAACAATCGTCTCATCTTCCTGCCAAGTCCTATAGCATCATTTCTCCTAACAAGAGTATCCCAATTAAAGTTCGATTAGTTAGAGCTTAGAGTCAAATAGAATCAGAGATTTTGGGTGAGATATTCCCAACACAAAGGTTGAGAATACATGAATACAAGACCGAAGAGGGTGATAAAAGTGGCGAGGATCAATTACAACGAACTTTTATGATTTTTGTTGGCGATTTTTTTTTTAATAATTACATTCATGTGAGCATTTATTGCTACTAACAACTATGGAGTACTAGCTAACAAACATTTCGTCAATTGTAGTTGTAGTACTACATTTACTCGATTTTGTTATTGTTGAAACTCTAATTTTATCCGCATATAAGTTGTTCCACATTTTAGATAGAGGAGAAAAGATACATAATATAAGTCGAAAGAGATGTGTGCATTCACATCATACGCAATTGCATGAAGCTCTTGGAACATACAAATTAATTGGAAAGCAGATAGAGGTTAAGCATTACTACATAGAGGGTAATTATGCAGCTAATTGGCTTGTCAATTAAGGCGTAGAATAACAAACTAGAGTTGATTTAAATTCCCCCTTTTAGTGCCCTTACATATTTGTGACATGTACAACAAATGACAGTAATATTGTTTAGATAGTTTTCACATTTAGAAATTTAGTTAAGTTTAATCAAGAGACTCTTATCTTTAGTTGACTCATAATAAATGTTGTTAGTTTGTAAATGAAGCCGTAATCTCAACATTGATGCAAGGATTTAGTTTTCAATTCAAAGTATCAAAAACTCCAAAACAACATAGATTTTCTCAAGTAATACAAACCTCTAAGTTACAAGCTTGACTTAAGGTGCCTTAAATTCATCTTATTTTAACTTAATCAATGCAAGCTAAGATAAGCTCACTACACAACATCAAATTTAGGTAAATTAATACAAATTAGTTTATTGTAATACATTGTATTACTTGTATTATTATTAATTATTATTGTTAGTAGTATGGTTTGATATGTTAATTATGACCGTACGAATGTTAATTATGCACAATTGCATTCTCATCAGAAATGCATGGTGTAAGTTATGACCATCTATTCCAATGGTGACATCCAACTTAATTTTTTTTTTTTTTTTTTTTTTATTATTATTTTTCATTGCATGACTGAATTGTTTATTCTAAATCCATCCTCCTCTCGTCACCCAAAAATAAGCTAAGGATTTCTTAGTGGAGGGAAAGTAATAAAAAAGCAAATAAAGAGGATAAATGGAAAGGAGAGTGTCACGTCAAATTTAATGATAATATAAATAGGTCTTAAGTCACTTAGGATCAATTAATAAAAAAATAAAATTATTAAATTTGAGAACTTATTAGACTAATCTAAAGTTCTTGTAATTAAATTAATTTAAACTAGACTCTCAAAATTCGATAACTTGATATTTTTTTCCTATATATCGAGAAAATAATGGTCAATTTTTTATTTATTGAAAATTTAGAAAGGTCAAATAAAAAGTTAATTAACTCTGTAATTTCAAGTTGATACAATTTTATTAGGATATCGTTAATAAAAGGAGTGGTATAGTTAATGCCCTTCTTCGATGAATTAACAATTACATTGTCTAACCCGCATGACAACTGACTTCAATTATCTTTACGACTACCCCAATTCTTTTCTCATATCAAAAAGCTATCACTTTGTTAGAGGAGTATAATTTCAAACCACAACGTTATCCAATCTTTAGAAAGCATTTGACAAAGTAATTCTATGATTAAAATTTACATACATAATGTATCCAAACGTAGTGTTAATAACGAATAATAAAAAATACTATCAACGTGACTATTTATTTTAACAAGAACGCAATAATTCGAGTATGTATTCGGATAAAATGAATTCCACTAAAACAAATGGTACTAACAAGCTAAGCTAGCAACATAGCCGAAATCATAGAAATGAAAAAAAGGCATAAATAAGCAAAGGAATAGATAGAGGGTGTTGTACTATGTAGTAGTGAATTAGTGATAGTAGGGCATATATAGGTGCGGGCATAGGGACATGTCTCAGGTACTAAACGATGTGACCGTGCGATAGATGGTAGTAAGTGAAGCTATCAGACCACATCTCTCCTATATTAAATAAACAATATTGTTTAAGCTCATGTCAAAATAAATAAATAAATAAATAAAAATAAACAAATAAAGCAAATATACTGATCCCTAAATCCACCCAAATTCTGTACGAAACATTTTTAAGCATCACACTAACTTTTACTCCATGTATGTGTGCTAGTCATGAGGTACTTGTTTAGTGTTATAGGAGATATTTTGTTGCGGTTGTAGGGGTTAGTTAGTAATATAGGGATTACTTTGTTAGTGTTGTAAGAGTCACTTTGTTATTTAAAAAGTATTGTACTATAATAATGGGTTAATCTGCTAATGTTTTTTTACAAACGTTATACGATGTGGCTAGCTGCACAGAAAACACGTTGTAAGCATTATACCCCTCCATTTTTTTAATTGCAACAACTTCTTTTTTTTTTTTTTTTTTTTTTTTTGTGTGTGTGTAATGTAACACTTAACTCAATTGTTCATATTTTGATAATGCAACATTCTTCTAAATGAAAATAATCTAGCTACACTACTTCATTATTTCTCTCTTTTTTCATGGTCTTATTCATACTTTTTATTATTCTCTTATCTCACATTTATTTATTATTTCTAAATAAATTATTCATCATGACCCACTTTTTCTTTCTATAATTTCTAATTCTTCAATAAATCACACTTACAAGTATTTTAACAAATTTAACTCAATCACCTAAAAGTCTATATCGATCAAAATATTGCATTAAAAAAACCGTATGGAGTAATCACCTAGTCACCCATTTTCCCCAATTAGTGTACGTGTGAAAAAGAAAGGAAACCAAAACTTGTGTGAGCTGCTTTACTTGCTCTCTTCATTCTCCTCTTTCTGCCATATCATCATCTTCAGGCGCACCTACCCTAAGCTAAGCTACTACTACCCCTATCCAATAATAACTCTCTATTATTCCTTTTGCTATTTCATTGCTCTCTTATTTTTGGACTAACTTACATCTTTCTCTTTTGCATTTATTTTGTTATATTACTTGTTCTAAGATATTTTTACTCCTTTCTTCTTGCATTTATTATATTTGTACTAGCTTGGTAGTATTAGCATCTTATCTTTTGCCTTCCTTTTTACATTTACCTTGCTTTTTGTGTCACACCCCTCCTCAAAAATAAAAAATAAGTGTTCTAGGGCTTTTGAGTTCATCTTTCATTCATTCAATCTCCATTGATATTATTCAACATTAGTTTGGTTAACTAGCTTAAGGCTAGTGCTTCATAATATGCTAGGATCTTCCTCTTATAGCTCTGAGGAAGACCGAGATCACGAACGATCTTCACCGTTGGATCTACCTCAACCTCAACCACAACCACAACCGCAACCGCGACCACCACTAAGGTTATTAGACTATCAACGTTTGTTGACTAGTAGTAGTAATATAGCTAATACTACTACTTCTGCTGCTCTTCCTTCATCATCTTCGGTTGTACTATCTTCGACACCGCCTACGTTGTTATCAACATCACCACAATCTTCAGTGATTCATCCACGGCAGTTGTTGGTTACTTGTGCTGAGCTTATATCTCGGTCCGAGTTCTTCTCAGCTAACCGTCTACTCTCCCTTATATCCACTGATTTCGCCTTACAATTTGGCGACTCCACTGAAAGACTAGTGTATTATTTTTGTATAGCCTTAAGAGAGCGTATCAATCGTCATTTATTATCAACTACAACTTGTGTTATGAACCCTAGTATTAATATTCCTGTTACACTAGCTCATCAACGTCCCATTTTTTCATCATCATCCCCTCAAATTATATTACCTAATCAAATTCCAAGACCTTCTAGAATAGTAGAACAAGATGTTACAACTAGATATTCATCTTATCTTTCCCTTAATCAAGTTACTCCGTTTATCCGATTCACCCACTTGACCGCCAACCAAGCGATCCTAGAAGCCGTGGAGGGTTACTCATCGATCCATATCCTCGACATGAACGTCATGCACGGCGTTCAATGGCCTCCGTTGTTGCAAGCCATCATGGAGCGGTCGAGTACCCTAGGTCGGTCGTGTCCTACAATACGGATCACGGGGGCTGCCCGTGATCCAAGTCTCCTAGACCGCACTGGGGACCGGCTTAGGAGGTTTGCCGAATCCCTAGGCCTCGAGTTTGAGTTTTGTGATCTGATACTTTATGATTCCGAAGTAGTTGATCACTCTGAGGCGGTGATCCATGCTTTGATGGATCACCGCCTCAGGTTTGATCAAGTGAAGGAAGCCCTTGCAATTAATTGTGGGGACTACCTCCACTGCCTCCTGAGAGAATACGATACACGTTCCCTTAGGAGGTTTCTCCACAAGGTCAAGACCTTAAACCCCAAGGTCTTGACCTTGGGAGAACGAGAGGCTGATCATAACCACCCTCTCTTTTTGGGAAGGTTTGTAGAGGCATTGGATCACTACGGAGCCGTGTTTGATTCCCTAGAGGCCACCCTACCTCCGCAAAGTCGAGAGAGGGTGGCGGTTGAGGAAGCATGGTTCGGGGAGGAGATAAAAGACGTCGTGGGGGAGGACGGGGAGAGGAGAAAAGATAGACACCAACGGTTCGAGTCATGGGAAATAGTGATGCGGAGTTCCGGGTTCAAGAGTCTAGCCTTGAGTCCGTTTTCGTTGTCTCAAGCTAAGCTGTTGCTTAGGCTTCATTATCCTTCCGAAGGATACCAACTTCAGGTTGTTAAAAAAAATTGTTTGTTTCTTGGGTGGAAAAATCGCCCTCTTTATTCTGTATCTTCTTGGCAATAATTAGGTCTTCATTTTTTTTTTCTTCATATATTTTCTTCAATTTTTGTTAATTTGAAACTTTATTTGGTAATGGTGATATATATACATTCCATATGATTTTCTAAAACAGGTTTAATATATGGGGTAATCATCATCACCTCAAAATTACAAAAAGGTTAGCTAACTTTGGCCTTGTGATCATCTTGAATTTTGCTAGGGTTTTTCTCAATTATTTTTAGTATATATATATACCCTTCATTTGTTCATGGTTTATGTATTTTTTTTTAATTCAAAATTAAAATTTTCTCCCAAAATTTACTTATATTGATGTATATTTGTTGAATTTTTATTTATTTAGGTGGATGAAAGTAGTATATTGAAAATGAGAAGATGTCAAAATAATTAAGAATATTCCATATTGACTATTAGGGCATCAACTTGAAGATTTGTCAATTTTGATTCCATAGAAAGTCGTTTTGTCTTTATTGAATTAATCACTTCACTCGTGTGCCTTTTGCTAAATCTAATTACACAATTAACAAATATTTAATTATTGTCTTTATTAACCCAAAGTGCTTTTTGTCTCTCTTATATACCAAGCACTAGTAATCCATAACCGGATAATGAGGCATATTGTCTTCTTAATTAATTTAAAAAGAAATTATTTTGTCTCCTTAAATTGGTGTATAATAACACCTTAAATAAGAATGTACTTTAATTTAATAGTCTAAAGTATTAATTAAACTTAGTTAAATTAATTAAATATTTCCCTCAAAATATGGCTAATTGTCTCCTAAACAGAAATATGGAAGTTCTCAATAAAAGATGGTAATGTTGCCCACTTTGCCTCCAAAGCAAGCCTTTTCTTCTTTGATAAACTCCCCAATAAGGGATCTTCCCTGTCTTGTGGTTTTCCAAGGACATCATATCATTCCTCCTACCCAAATCTGTTTTCCTATGATACCCTTTTTTATTAATTAATAATTAATGTTTGCCCTAGGCCTAGATTAATTTATTAATTAGTTAGCTTAATAATTTTAATAATCTTTGAGGTCAACTATTTCCCTAATATGAGCATAATGCTGGCACATCATTAAGTATAGTTTGAGTTAGTTGGCATCTTTTCATCCCTAGTGTAGGGGATAATGAGGTTTAAAGTCTTTAAACTACGCGTAATTAATTTGGTGCAAGAAATTAATAATGTTATCATATAGGTTATCTAGTTGATTAGTTATGTGCTTTGTTAGATTTCATCGTTATTTTTAATTATGAAATGCAAGAAAAGTTATTGTGATAGAAAAATGTACAGAGAATTAAGGACATGCATTAACATGAAATCAATACTCCGTACTTTCATAACTAAGAAGAGTTTGTTATTTCTTTCCTCATCCATCTATACAAATAGATAACAAAAATATTCTTATGCATCGATAAAAAGTAAAACGTCGAAAAAATGGAAGATATCAACCATGATAGCTCCACTTTATATATGAAGAATTTAAAGTACGATAAATAGTTTATTGACAGATAATCAGCTAATAAAGTGTAGACATGTAATAGTGAGTATCTTTAAGGCCTAAATCGAGGGAGCCTTATTAAGAAGGTTTTGGAACTTTTGGAGGACATGCCCTTTTGTGTCTCGTATAGTCGTATTGTATATTAATATAATTTTTTTTTTTTAAATTCTGAAAGCAGTGAGATGTGTAAATGTTATTGATCTATGTATAATATAGATGATAAAATGGAAAAACTAGTACATACCATTTTGCAAGTACATGCAATATTTTTTAGGACCCCTACCTATTCCCCTCTCTTATCACTTCATCAAGTGCACTTATGCATCAATTACAATCACCAATACTCACCAATTACAATCAAAGAACTAAGCAATAATTTGAAAAAAAAAATAGGGTGACCAACTCATCTTAACCTAGCTAATTAAGGTCATGATAAGATTGAAAACCTAGCTAGTTAAATGTCTTTAAATCGTCTAGCTAGGACAAAGGTTAACCTAGTATAGTAGTCACTTTTATGTGTCCGTGCACCGTGCGGTTTAGGCTACATACCATACAAACTTGAATCAATTATTTGAAAGGAAACTTCTGCCCTACCTTTTATTCCACTAAATTTATCAATGGAGTGTAGGATCCAATGGCAGTCAATGGAGTGACACTCATATTAAAGGTTGATAGGACTCCATTTATAATGTATATTTATATTATGGTACTTCTTTCATTTAGATTTTGTTGCATCATTTTTACAATATTTCATACATCATGCTTTGGTTATATTTGATGATATAATTCAATAAAAATATAGTCAGGTGAGTGTGTGTTATGAGCTAGATTCGTTGCAATGTATATACTATCAAAACATTAATTTGTTTTACTCTGATCCCTCCGTTTATTGTAAAATGCATCACTTGAGATTTTGCATTATTCATATGTTATCTTTGACTTAATTTTTTGTTGGATTTGTTACAATATCTACTTTCATAGTATAATTTTTCTGGATTTGTTACAAATTTACAATGTCTACTTTCATAGTATAATTTTGTTATAATTTTTATAAATATCTAAATTAAAGATATTGATGGTTAAAGTTGTGTTCGACAAGTGTGAAAACTCAAGTGATGCATTAAAAAAAACAGGGAGTAATTTTTATTTATTGGTGATTGAAGTTATTAATAATTAAAGTTATAAATTGACAAGCACAAAAATAAAAATATAACATTTAAAAAATCACTAAGGAACTAGGAAGTATATTTTTATATTGATATGTATGTTTAAGTATGATGAGAGCGTAAGTTCATGATGTTTAAAAAGTGAACAATTATTGTACAACTTCCCAGAGTTATACTATGTTATGTTCACTTAAGTAGTATGACAAGTGATTAGTTATTTTTTACTGTACGAAATTTTTAGTAATGTGCAGTGGGTTGTATTTTCTATATAAAGAAGTTACTTTACAAATCTAAAATTAAAATTTTCGATACAAAAGTTCCAAACACTTTATTAGCTAATACAAGACGTACGTATTTCGTATTAATTAATTAGTTACCTCTTAAGTTAAAGAGAAAATTGTTCTTATTATTGACTATTGATTTCTTTTTTGGTATAGAATGATCGACTTCAAATGATAATTGATGTATGTAGAGAGATACAGTACAATTCGATCGCACGTACGAGTACATTATAGGTTTATACCTCCTTTAAAACTTATACTCAATTTGATGTATGTAGATTAGAGTTCGAATTAGTTAACTAAATAGGTTGTCATCCAACCCTATTGCCTCTTGATGTGGCATAAATCCTAAGACTTCTAAGTGCTACAAATGTACATATCTCAGCTCCTCAATCATGGATATGGTTGCTCAAGCCTATTTTGCAAATTTTGAAAAGTCAGCAAATTAAAGGTTGAGAAAGAAAAGTGATGCATTTATGCTTTATTAGACAAGGAGGGAGAATGAACGAGACACTTACAAAACTTTGTACTTGTTTATTTTTGTTTGGTAGCTAGAAAAGCTTGTGCTAATTGGGATATATGAAACTTGAGAATAAAAAGTGATGCAAAAAGTTGAGAAAATTTATTGGTTTTTTTTTTATTTATTTATTATTATTATTTTGTTTTTATTTAATAAAAGTAGGCAAGGATTAAAAGTTTTGGAGAATTATGGCTAAACGTTGTAAAAAATTTATTAATCAACATTCTAATTACGTGGTATATAATAGGATAGGATAGGGTGGCAAGATGAACTTTTTATTTTGGCAGTTTATTTCATGATTTGTGGCATAAAAGAACATTAATTAAAATATTTGTTGATTTATAATTATGCAGTTTTGAATCAAAGCATTCAATGCATACGAAGTAATAGACAAGACTTGATTATGCTCAATACTCATATGAGAGTACAAAATTGTGCCTTTCATTGTAATTAAATTGCAACAAGCTTAATAGTTTACGGATCAATGTTTAGAATCACATCCAATCTATATCATTGTTGTTTGTGATTATCCTAAACACTAAAGACAATGTCTAGTTATTCTTATTATATCATTCAAAGTTGAAACTTAATATGGCAGTCTTTTGCCAAATAAACAAAAGTACTACGTATTGTTCATTCTAGTATTAAATTTCCTCCATGAGTTCGTTGATGCTAAAAAGAAACAAGTTAAATTGTAATAACAAGTCATCATCCTATTGTTCGTTCTAGTAATAATAAATAAACGTTGTATCTAGCTTTGACAATGATTTTCATTTATGTAAAACCTTCATTATTATATGTGAATTGTTTCATTAAGAAAAAATTAAGTGTGAGAAGATCATTGTTCCAGCTTCATTCCTTTGTTAGATAACTACTTATAAATTTACAGAAATCTAGAAAACTTGATGATATTTTGAGTACATATACTGTACAATGAAAAGCTGGCATATTTTGATGCATATTTACAATATTGATCGAAATAAACGCTATGTCCTATCTCCTATCAATCTATCACATAATATTGTCATAACCGCAACATGACAATTATCAATATAATCATTAGACTCCATGACTTTTAATGACATCTCATACAATACTTTATAAACAAGAAAACAACCAAAAAAACGAATAGTACGTGAGAATAATGTGTATTTGATACCATATTAATATATTATTGTTATAAGATTCCTCCAGAATTGCAAAAATATAGGAACTGCACTCAAATGATATGCCAATAGACTATGTATACAGTCGTACGTACTAGTTAATACTGTAAACTGTAAAATTTATAGCTTAAATGTCAACATTATTGCTTTGCTTTTGACACGAAAAAGATCCTCCTTATATCGTTCTGTCGATGCCTTTTTTAAACTTTTTAGGGGAAAAAATATGGGAAAAATTATTGGTCATTAGTCGGTTAGATATGGTATGGAAAACGAGATGTTAAAGGTGATCAACTACGGCCTGATTTGGTAGTCAGCTCAAAAAAGGACGGGTTTGGATAAGCTAAAAAACACTTTTTTAGTTAAACCCAAACCCGACCCAAATAAACATAAAAGTCTTCTACAGCCCGACAAGCTTGTCACTTTTTTGCGTATTTGGGCATGATGTTTGATGTTAAGGTGACTCTCGGTCCGAATTTTTTACCACCTCTACAAGATATTGAGGCAGATTAACAAAAGGTCATGTTAACATTTAGGATTAAAAGAGCAAGATATTAAAATGAAATCAACAAACAAGCTAATAGATTTTACATGGTTAACTAACAATGAGTTAGGCCATGTTTAGTTCACCTTATTTTTTTACTTATTTCAGAAAAAATAAGTTCAGATCAGATCACTGCTTGATGTGTGTTTTTTTATTGCTAAATATTTTTAATTTTGTAAAAAAAATTATAAAAATAACATGTTAATAAAATACACATTAATTCGAATCTAACAAGATCTCACTTGATATATTTCTTCTTTAGTACGCTTAAGGTCAAAATTTGGTCAAATTAGACAATCATATCAGATCATACCACATTAGATTATACCAAATCAAATCAGATCAGATAAGCAAAAATAAGGTGAAACAAACAAGCCCTTAATCACTCTCATGGATAGAGGTGTAAGGAGATTAATAGTAGTCAGGCTGAACAGTAGCAAATTTATATTGTACTCTTAAAACATATTATGAATAAACCAAACATATATAGGCCCAAAATAAATAAATAAAATCCTTAGCCAACATATATAATCGACACCCGAACAAGACACTTTTAAATCTATATAATATAATCTTTTCAATGGGGCTAACTGGTTCAAGGCAAATTCAAACACGTCTTCATAACATTTCTATGCACCTTTTAGGCCTTGTTTGGTTCACCTTATTTTTACTGATCTGATCTGGTCTGGTCTGATCTGATTTGGTCTGGTATGATCTGATCTGATTGTCTTATTTGATCAAACTTTGACCTTAAGTGTACGATAATCTATAAGGAAAAAATATATCAAGTGCGATCTTGTTAGATTCGTAATAATGTGTAGTTTATTAATATGTAATTTTCACAATTTTTTTCATTACGAAATTAAGAATATTTAGCGATAAAAAACCGCACATAAAACGATGTTCTGATCTGAACTTATTTTTTCTGATCTGATCTGATCTGATCTGAACTTATTTTTTCTGAAATAAGTAAAAATAAGTTGAACTAAACAAGGCCTTAGTGTTGCAACATTTGTTTTTATTATTATATATACAATGAAACGCATCATCATGCAAAATCTTGTAAGTTTATCACATATATGCAACTTTATTACCTAAATTGGAGGAGCAAGAAGAACAAGTATAGTTAAATAATGCTCTTAATTAGGACTATGATTTGCAAGCATTTTTTTTTTTTATAAGGAAAGATAAAAGAAGTTAGGCCAGTCTTCTCTCAACACTATAACCCAACCTATCTAAAATAATAAAAAAAAAAAAAAAAAATTTACTATCTAAAAAAGGATCAATATCTTGGTGTGTTTGCATGAAATAACCTAAAAAAGCAACATAATCTGTTGTTTTATTGCCCTTTTTATAGATATGCCTGAACTTGACGGAGGAGAAAAGACGAAGGAGCTTCCTAATATCTTCCAGCAGTAACTGATTGTGAGTGGCAATTGAATGTGAGTGGCACGTTAAACCCTTCTTAGTTAGACTAAAGGTGATTGTGCTCTACATAGTGCCTTTTAGAGAATTGAATGTTTAGTATTACTCTATATTTTTTTAATACTCACCACAGTTTTATTGACACATATGTGACAATGCACAAGTTTGACCTAATAATAATATATGTATTTATGTATTAATTACAAAAAAAATTATGAAATAAGTAATATCGAGAAATGTACATTGTTACTCATTTGTTAACTATTTTGTTTTTCCATTAATATTTTTTGTTTTATCATTTATTTCAAATATCTTTTAAAGGGTAATATTTGTGATTGAAATTATTGAAAGGAAAAAAATTATTTAAGCTATATCTCTACTTCCTCTGTATTTTATTACTTGTTCCATATCTCCATGTGTGAAGTTTTAGGAGAAGTAGTAGAAATTATAAAATATAAAGAAAGTGGGGTTGGAAGAAGAATAAAATATGATAGACTAATAGTTGATACTTACCAAAAAAAAGTATGTTAGTTGGGAGGAGAGAGAATCTAAATGTATTAAAGTATGATAGTTGGGGCTCCACGGAGATAATGAATTAATAAAATATTGTGAAAGGTTTTTCAAAAAAAAAAATGGAAATTAAGCAAGTAAGATATACGGCCGCAGAAGGAAAATGGAGCAAGTAATAAAATATGGAGAAAGTATTATATAAGCCATGGGGGGAGACTGGTTTATATATATATTCACAGTGTTTAAGGCCCTTTTTGTTTGAAGGGATTTGGATGAAAAAGAAAATAAAGGAAAGGGTTTTAAACATGTTTAGATTGGGTGGCGAATGGCGATTAACAAATTATTCCTTGAATGTATAATAAAGTAGATATTTGTTTGGCCCAATAATGATAGGGTGTAGACATTACTCGTATTAATTTAAACAGCACCAATAACGCAAGATCCAGTCCAGCGAATTTCAGGAAAGGGTCCTTGGCCCAATACTAGTTATTCGGCAGGTGCCAATCTGCCATTATGCACCATCAATTTTGAAGGCCAATGATCTAGCAATGGTCTAGAGCGAGCATTATGGCGCTAAAGACTGTAATTTTTAGACCAAACATTACTGAGTACTAGATCTGATAATTCTGACCCGACCCGACCCGAATGATTCGACCCATGACCCGAAATTGACTCGAAAATGTCAATCTGAAACTGACCTGAACACGAAACTGACCCGATCCGATCCATACCCGATCCGAAGTTGACTCGATACCCAAATTGACCCGACCTGAAATTGACCCGATACCCAAAGTGACCTGAAATCCGAAGTGACCCTACCCGTTCTCGACCCAAAGCGACCCGAACTATACCCGAAATGATCTGAATAAAAATTAACTGATACTCAAAATGACCTTAATGATTTAGGGCTTAATTACTTTACCCGAATAAATGCTTATCAAAAATAATCTAAACCAAATCGACTTGTACCTTTTAGTTGATAGTTATTATATAATTTGAATATTCTTTTAATTTTTATTAATAGTTTTCCCACTTAAATTTTTAGTGACTTTATTGTTGGAGGGAAAATTTTCCCACTATTTTTAAATCAAACATTCAAGTTATTTGGAATAAGAGGCAGTTTTCCCACAAATTTTTTAGTGAAGTTACTTTTACTTTTAGGCCTTGCTTGAATTGGGGGTAATATATTAAGGGGGTAATAAAAGTCAAATTTAAAAAAACATTAGTAATTAGAAGTGTTGTTGTATGAGGCATAGTATTTACAAATGAAATAAGGTAATTTTGCCATGAGAAAAAGAGAGAGATGTAGGAAAAGAGAGAGATGGAGGAATTATTACCCTCATAATGAGGGTAATAGTTACCCACCCTCCCCCTAGTGTAACTATTATCCCCAAAATGAGGGTATTAGTTCCTCTTTCTTCATCTCATACCACACCATCATTACATAATTTTCCTTACAATCACACCATCACTTTCATTTTGCTTAGTTTGACTTTTATTACCCTACTAATACATCTCCTCCAATCCAAGCATGCCCTTAGAGGGAAGGATTTCCCACTACTAAAAAATCAAGTGTTCAACTTAAATGTTTGATTAAGTATGGAAGTAAATTTCCTTTAAATTTTCCAATCATAACTTTATAAATTTTTATTTTTTATTTTTTTTTAAAAAAAAACGATCAACAACCTTATAACATGACCCGACCATAACTTGACTCGACAATTGGACTCGAAGATTGACCCGACCTAAATTGACTGGACCCAAACTCAACTCGACCCAAATTTGACCTGACCTAAACTTGACCCGACATTTGGACCCGAAGACTGACCTAACCCGAAACAACCCGACCCAAAGTGTTGACTTGATACCCGACTCGACCCGAATAATCATTGACCCGAAACTAACCCGAAACCCGAATTGACCTGACCCTACCCGAACCCGACCGAATATTGATTGATCCGAAATTGACCCTACCCGTACCTGACCCGAATGACCTGTGTTGCCAGGTGAGTACGGACACATTGAGATATAAATTGGCAAGAGGTGATCCAAAATTGGGTCGGGTTAAGCCTAAGTATAAACTCAGTATCCAAACTTGCCAAATAGTGTTGGGCTTGATGGGGTAAAGCGGACTTATGGGGCTAGACTCATGTTTGTCTAAGAATACATCTTTAGATTGTTTAAACCCACACTTTTTAGGTCAAGTTGGATTGGGCCAACTAACTTTACCATTATTGATGACCTCTAAAATATACTTATTAATATGAAATATTTTAAAAAAAAGAATTATGTATGGCTTTTTTTATAACAAAGAAAGAAAATAAACTAGGCTAAACTCGAGTCTTGTGGGATAAAATTTTCCTAATAGATAATAATTCTTCCCTTCTAGTAATATTGTAACAATTTGACTTTTACATTATTTATCACGCTTGTTAGTTTGACCATATATTATTCGTCTATTAAAATACTTTCACAATATCAACTTTTTATAATTTTTACTCTTATATAGTTATAGATATTTAAAATATAAATTATGCTTTGAGATGGTAATTTCATCCTTGTTGCAATATTTGTGGAACAGAGGAAGTAAGAAAAAGCGAGACATTACAAGATGTAGATCGATAGATCAAATTCGACAATAGTTGATCTACAGTATCAATAGATATGACACAAAGTTGAAATAAACCAGGGAGTAAAATCATAATTTCTTATTAGAAACAATTAGACCCATAAGAAAAATGTAAAATACCTAAGCTAAATATAAAATTGTATGATAAGAGTATATAAAAGCCACAAGTCAACATATCACAAATAATCTTTCTATTTTATTGTTCATAATAATACTCTTTAGTTAATAATCAGCCGATGTAGTACATAGGGTCAGGTAACTTGAAGGTCCTCTTGCCGGGGTTGGCCCCTATTAAATCACTCCATTGGTCTCCGATGTTTCCAACGATCGTAAACCCCATCTCTTCTAGCTTTGTCCTGTGCGTTGATTTGTACTCCACCGATTTCAAATGTGATTCACTTGGTTGCCTATCGTATTATTAATTATTAAAAATATAAAAAAACAAATCAATAATTATACGATTACATATATAAGATCCAATGAGTCCGTGAGACTTTTTTAAATGCATAATTTATATCGTAAATTGACTAAAAAATCATGTTGAATTATTTAATTTTTGTAACGTTTCATATTATCCAATCCAAAGTATTCCGTAGAAATTAATTAACGATACTTACTTTAGTATCATCTTTTCCCATTTGTAGTAGCCAATATTCTTCATGTTGCGCTCTTTAGGCTCCCTGAACTCCTCATGAGCTCCCGAAAGGAAAACAATTTTGATGCCAAGACGAACCAATTTCTTATAGAAGCTTAGCACTGCGGGTATTGCTGGTGCTCTAGCTTCCTTTTGCCATTCATCAAATGATGTTGCATTGTACGGTTGTACCCTGCATATTTTGCAATCAATTATTAATCACCATTCGCGTCAACAGAATGTTATTATTTAATTCGTCTTGAATTTTAGTTTCAAAATATTAACTTTAAAATATATTTGTAATTTTTGTAACATGCATTAAAAAGATATTGATCCTATATATATATATATATATATATATATATATATATATATATATATATATATATATATATATATATATATATATATATATATATATATCATACCAAATAGGGATGTCAACGGGACGGGGCGGGGTGGGGCGGGGCGGATGTTGGATTTCCCATCCCCATCCCCGCCTAACTTTCTCATCCCCATCCCCGGGTCCAAAATTCATCCTCATCCCCGCTCCGACGGGTACAATTCCAAAACCATCCCCGCCCCTCCCCCCACTTGGATATCCACTCCCACCTAATCCCCACCCAAGACCCATCTAATCCCCGCCTCCTAAATACAACAATATTACGTAATATACTAATGTAGATTACAATAAAAAAAAAAAAATCATTGTTATATTAAGTTTATTACAACATATTATATTTAGTTAATTACTACTTTATTTTACAAATTTTTTTTTAATATAAACTAGTATAAAAGTACTCAATTTTTATTTTTTTTAATATATAGATGTGGGTATGAGTTGGGTACGAAATGGGGCGGGTGGGGCGGGGCGGCGATGGGGCGGGTACAACCTAAAATCCACCCCCGCCCCATCACCCATGGCGGGTATGATTTTCATCCCCATCCCCGCCCCACCACCCACTAAATCGGGACCTAACCCCACCCCACTGACATCCCTAATACCAAAACTCTATTTATTAATTATTCTAATAATTTTATTTCAAGACACACGTGGTTAAGAGGCAATGATCTCTATGTTATTTAAACTTAGCAGATTGCATATGTTGATTGCACTGATAGACCTTTATTATTTTATTAAAACATCAAAATCTCTATGTAGTTTTATTATTTATATATTTTAATGTAAGAGTCACTCTTAAAATCTTACTAACCGTATCAATAATTCATAACAAAATATATATTATTAAAGGAATCGTCATACACTATTAGGAGTGAATGAGTACATTGCCAAACACTTGATTTGGGTTATTTAACACTAGATTAGTACTCATGTGTTGCAAGGTTTTAAACAAGTACAAATATTTAGAAATTATTTTATATTTATGAAAGTTAATAGAAAAAAAAAATAAAAAAAAAATACTATGTATATATATGAAATACCCCATTAATAATAGCTAGGCATGCAAAATCAAATGAAACTGTTTGGAAAAGTATTGCAACAAATGTGCATGGAATAGTACAAAATAAGTAATGATATATTTCATACAAGTTAAAGGTTCTTACCCAAAACCAACATCGGCATAGTAGGGCAAATTAGAGAGGGAAGTCTCATCAATATCGAATATCCAAACGTAGTTGCCATCTTTCTTGAGTGAGAGTGTCTTAACATAGTCATAAGCAGCAGAAGTAACAGCCAAACAATCTTTCCGATATTGAGCACCCATCATGTAATGTCCCACGTACCCTTCACATTCTTCCGGGACCGTCTTCCAGTCCCGGAGATTGTTTGTCTCCACAGCCAGCCGCCAACTCAAGCAATTTAGGCCCTCGATTTTGTGGCCGGCTGAGCCAGAACGAGGCATGAGGAGATGTATTGAGTGTGGATATTCATGAGCTTTAACATTACTAAAGAAGGAAGAAGTCACTAGAACTCCTAGGAAGAATATCAAAGAAAACCCTCTTAAGAAGCTCATATTGTTGTAAACTTGTATGGCTTAATTATGTATGTTATGTAAGCTTAAGGGAATGTATCCCTTATTTATAAGGACTTAAAGTGACCCTTGTTTTTCTTTTTTGGTAATGTTAATTATTGTTGTTAATTAATTCGAACTTTATCCTTCAATTAATTGTTTAGACGTAGCCCAACATAATTCACGTGAGTGTTAATGTTTATTATAAGAAAAATGAGTAGGTATTTCTTTCTTTCTTTTTTTTTTTCTTTTAGGAAAAAGAGTAGGTATTGCTTGATTACAAAGTAAAAGCTGTAAGAACAAGATTTCGTGTTCGCACCCCAAATAAAATAAAGAATTGAAAAGTAATAATTCCGCGTTCAATTTCATTTATATTGTATGGGATTACATGCATGCAGCATGCTACATGCATTATTATATTAATTCTTCATCAGTCAAACACCAATAAAAGTATTCATAATACGAGTAATAGTTATACATATATAACAGATATTCTGCAAAATAGAATCAATGTCTTTATGAAAATGGCATTCTGTTAATAAACATCTATGGAGTAGTATTACGTGATTTTAATTAATTACACTCCTCCGGCCTCCTCCGGGCTCCGTCCCATAATATATAATATATTGTATTAAATTCTATTTTTATAGTCAAATCTTAAAAATGTTGGCTGAAAATTCTCAGGTATACAAAAAAATTATCAAGTTTATGCTTAACTAAAGATAGTGATCATAGTCAATAACATGACTTGAAGATCGCGTAAAATGAAATAAGCATTATATTGGAAAAATATTGGAATTTATTTTAATAGTATCATTTATACAGTATATATACATCAACCATATCGAATTATTGATTGACATGTAATCTTCTCATTTCAAATCAATTACACTGTTCCCTTTTATCTAACAAGATTTTGATATTTTTATACCAATACACCCTTTGTTGTAATTTATATGTAAAGAATAATTGTCATTTGAAATTTCTTGGTTAGAGACATAGAACAACGAAGCATTAAACTTGAAATATTGGAATTTATTGCAATAGTATCATTTATCATTATTTCAAATCTAGATTCTCAAATTACAAACAATCTTTAAATACAGAATTCGATTATGAATTCATTCAAGTATACCAAATCACAAGTGGATGGGGCAATGCAGGCCATAACGTCAACTCTATCATACATAGAGAATAATGTCGTTTTCCTTGAAATCTTTTATGTCGTCTGTCAAAGATTTGAGTATATGACCAGTTAGCTTATACAATAACTATTTTACGGTGTATAAATGTATAATCATGTGATCAACTTCTCGATAATGCTACGCTAGTCTAGATTTATTAAAGTTAATTAAAGATAATGTTAAAAAGGTAAATTAGCTAAATTACAACCAACGATAACGCATATATTGCCTTATAGGTTGCAGACTGTTTACATTACTTTAGTGAAATTATACTGATTTGGTAGCAATAATGCATAATAATATATGTAACACTAATTAAACATATTAAAACCTTTTGAGATGGAACCAAAAAAAGAGGTCAATTATATAGCTTTGATGTGATTTGTTTGCAAAGATAATGTTGATTTGCTTAAGATATGTAACAATAATGTTGTGTGTTACATTCTTCTATATTTAAGTATAGTTTATTGATTGATTAGAGAAGGTCTAACTCCGTCCTAAAATAAGAACTTTTTTACTCCGTACTTAGGATTTTGAGATTAAGAATTGTTCAGCATTAATATACTGTGTTTTCACCAATGTAGTGATGATTTATTTAGCATCCTATGTTGAATAATTCCTGGCCTTTATAGTTTTGTTTTAAATTTTGAAAAATGGTTAACATAACCTTAAGAACTACATGTAAAATTGGAGATAAAAAGAAAATAACTAAACAGTTGTTACATTAACTTACGCGTGTTTTTTGTTATAATATCCCAAATCATACAATAAATTAGAATATCCATTTGATGTTATATTGCCAATCAATAACTCTTAAAATTTTGTTGTATTTTATAAATTATTTTGAGGTTATTTAATTTGATTGCATTTATTTAAGAGTAATCAAAGCATTTTATATTTTTACATGGATTGGGGTCTCACATAATTAATTATTAGTCTATCCAGTTGCATTTAATTTGTCTTATCTATGTTAAACTTGTTTTTGGATTCCTAAATCCTACTCCCTCCTCTAGCTTCTTTTCTATAGTTACATTTGAAGGATTTATGTTGTCGTCAAGTGCAATTACTAAATATATTAATGGATCAATATTATGGAGATAATAAGTTCATTCTTTTGGAGATAATAAGTTCATACTAGATATATTAATGGATCAATATTATGGAGATAATAAGTTCATTCTTTTGGATCGTCATTATCTGTTGGTAGACGTGATTAATGGTTTTTGGGCTAGTCAAATAGTCCCACTACTAGAAAACAGGTCATTTCTGACGGAAAAATTCGGTCAAAAAAACCCGTTTCCGACGGAATTTTCGTCGGAACAGGTTGTCGTAAACATGTTTGTAGGAAAAACGGTCTTTTCCGTCAGAAATTCCGTCGGAACAATGTTTTTTCGACGGAATTTTCTCATCGGAAGAGGTGTTCCAGCCACCGAAAAGTCCGTCGGAAAATTCCGACGGAATTCAAATCCGCCGAAAACTTCCGACGGAATCTGCTACAAAAAAAATAAAAAATAAAAAGCCCTGCCATCCCGGCAGGGCGTAACACCACCTCGTAACATCAACCACCACCACCGTAAACCACCACCTTAACCCACCACCGTTACCCACCACCTTAACCCACCTAACCTTAACCCACCAGACCCCACTTCACCACCAACCAAAACCCTCTAACCCAAACCATAACCCCCCACGCCTAACCACACCCAGAACCCCCCCACCCAGACCACCACCCACACCCAGACCCCCCCTCCCCACCCAGACCAGACCCCCCCTCCCAGACCAGACCCCCCACCCCACCCAACCACCCTGACCAAAACTACCAAAATCGAAAAAAACCCCCAAATCGAAAATTAACAAAAACCAAATAGAAAATTACAAAAAAAATCCATAACACCCAAATCGTACAATAAATTCAGAGATCCGAAAAAATACAAAAAAAAATTGAAATCAAACAAAATAAATATATATACAATTGTATTTTGAAATTAATTAAAAAATTACAATGTGTCGTCGTTGTTGGTTGCCGTTGCTGCTGGTGTCATTGCGGTGGTAGGTGGTGTTGTCGTTGTTGCTGCTGGTCTTGTGGTGGTCGAAGAGGACAAAGAGGCCGAATAATTGACTTTGGAAGCACTTCAAGTCTGTCGTTCCATGAGAAATCTAAATACCTCAAATGCAACAGTTCACCGAATACAAAGAAGGAGATGGAAGGAGAAGAAAGGAGAACGAAAATAAAGGAGAAAGAGAAAGGAAAGAGAAAGGAAAGAAAAGGAGATGGAGCGTGAGATGAAAACAGAAGAGGAAATAGAAGAGAGAGAAAGAGAAGAGGAAAGAGGAGAAGAGAGAGAAAGAGAAATGAGGAAAGAGTGGCGGACAGAAGAAGATGAGTGGAGAGAGAAATTTATTAGGGTTTATTGGGTTTTTAGGTTTTTTTTTATTATTTAATTATATTCCGACGGATTTTATTTCCGTTGGAAATTTAATGTTTCAACGGAATAATCCGTCGGAAATTTCCGACGGATTTCATTTCCGTCGAAACATTAAGTTTTCGACGGACGGAAAGCCCATAAATTCCGACGGAATTTTATTCCGTAGGAAATCCGTCGTAAATTTCCGACAGAATAAAAATCCGTCGGAATTTACGACGGAAAAACATGTCCGCCGGAACTGGTCCGTCGTAAATCGGCCTATTTCTAGTAGTGTCCAAAGCCCAATATAATGGATCCTATGAGGTCACACTATGTGGTGATGGATTGAACAAAAGAAAAGGCCCATTATTGGGCCTCATAGAAGGTGGCTGGCCATATGGAGTATGTAGGGAGGAGTTTGGGCTTGCTTAGGACTCTATTATATATGTGATATATAATAATGGGTTACCTTGGGTTTTTATATATAACAGAATAATCAGTCAATAGTTGATTCATAATCAAGCAACCAAACCCTAAGCCTTACGCACACACACTCTCTCTCTTCTCCCCTCACGTCTGTACGGTGTACGGTGGTGGTCGTGGTGGTTTCGTGGCCGGTTTATCCCCTCCTCTCCGTAGAAGGTGGTTCGAAGCGTTTGTGCCTAATTATCACTACAAGAAAAATAACTTTGGGCGTCAAAACAAATCGACGCCCATGACACAATTAATTTGTGTCTCCCAAAGTCAGGGCGACAAAAAAAATTCGACGCAAGAAGCGTCGCCTTATCGCTGTCGCCCAAAGTTTGGGCATCACTTTTACAATTTTCGTCGCACAAAGTGGTAGCTAATTTGGGCGTCACTTAACTTTAACGTGGCCCTTATCCGGGAGTCACCTTTTTAATTTCATCGCCCATATTAATACATTTGTGCCACATTTCTTTGATATTCGTCGCCAATGTATGTTCATTTGTGCGACACTTTTTGTAAATTATGTAGCCCATTACCCCCTACCACCTAGCTTGACATTGAGTTTGGGTAACACTTCTAATTTATGATCCTTCACCCATGCGTCGATGATAACTTGCTATTTGATATGATTTTAGGGTGTTTTTGAACCTAGTTTACTTGATAAAATTTGTGTTTTGGTTCACTTTTACTCTATTATTATGCAATTTTTGTGTGTCCTATGCTTCACGGGTTGTTAGTGTTTTTGTTGAGATTCTAGGTTCAAAGACGACCAAATGAAGCCCATAGATACAAAACCAAGGTTAGAAGCAAGAAGATGGTAGAAAGAAGCCAAGAAAAGGAGAAATATAGAAGAAAAGATGGAAAAAAAGGGCTTAGAAGACCCTGCACGGCCGTGCCAGACCTTGCACGTCCGTGCAGGAGTGCTCCAGAAAGTTGCAACATTCTGCCAAGGCCTGCACGGCCGTGCTTAAGTTGGCACGTCCGTAACACTTCTAATTTATGATCCTTCACCCATGCGTCAATGATAACTTGCTATTTGATATGATTTTAGGGTGTTTTTGAACCTAGTTTACTTGATAAAATTTGTGTTTTGGTTCACTTTTACTCTATTATTATGCAATTTTTGTGTGTCCTATGCTTCACGGGTTGTTAGTGTTTTTGTTGAGATTCTAGGTTCAAAGACGACCAAATGAAGCCCATGGATACAAAACCAAGGTTAGAAGCAAGAAGATGGTAGAAAGAAGCCAAGAAAAGAAGCAATATAGAAGAAAAGATGGAAAAAAGGGCTTAGAAGACCCTGCACGGCCGTGCCAGACCTTGCACGTCCGTGCAGGAGTGCTCCAGAAAGTTGCAACATTCTGCCAAGGCCTGCACGGCCGTGCTTAAGTTGGCACGTCCGTGCAGAAGAGGCTGCACGTCAACTGGCACGTCCGTGCAAGATTTCAAGCCCAAGCAATAGCTTCTGCCATGCCCTGCACGGCCGTGCGTAAGGCAGCACGTCCGTGCATCTTGGTCTGCACGTCCGTGTCAAACCTGGCACGTCCATGCAGACCTGCAGTCAAGCTCGACTCTTGTTTTCTCCCTCCTTTTTATTTGGGGGTCTTATAAATACCCCCTTTTGGCTCATTTGTACGAACCAGCAAGGTTTTTAGAGCTTTATCTTAGTTTTGCAATCTTAGAACATTAAATTCTCAAATCATTAGTTAGTTCTTAATTAGTAGCTTGGAATTATTCAAATTCAATCATTGTAGAAGACAAAGTCCACCATTGTTGCTCACCTTGAAGCTTCCTAGTAACCATTTCTTACTCATCTTTTCTACTTCTCTTTACTTTGTTGTTAATTACTTGCTAGTTCTTGCATGTTTAGATTGTTAATTAGCTTAATCCTTAGTTTGAACTTGTTCATGAATTGCTTGAAATTTTTAATTGCTTTAATCTCCATGGATTGTGAGTAGTCCAATTTCTAGGGTTTGGGCAAAACCCTCAATGTAGTCATTAATTACTTGTTGCATGTGCTAATTTGGTTGTTGTGAGATGTTAATTAGTTGAGCTTAAGTTGTTTAATTGCTTAGTTCTTGTATATGGCCATTGCTAGAACTATTTATTCAAGCTTCCTCAACGAAGGATCGAGAGATGAACTTGAGTTAGCTCCCTTATGCTTGATTGACCCGAAATGCCATGAGAATAGGAATTTTCGGTCAAGGGAATGTTTATGTCATCGTGATTATGCTTTAACACCTATTTTATGCTTTGTAACCACGAGAGTAGGTTGTATTCATGATTCAAGTAATCCCTCTAGCTTGAGAGAGTAGTTGGGTGCCTTAGATGACTTCCCCTAATTTATCCCATTAATTTACCTTGATTGTTGCATGCTAATTGTGATTTGTGATGAAGTTGAGTGGTATAACCCGAGCCCTAGATTTCTCTAAATATTGTTAATCTCCTCTTAGCTTTAATTGAATTGAACTAGTAGAACTTACTCAAGAACAAACCAACTTCGACTTCATTTAGCTTATTTAAACGGTAGTACTCGGTGGTTGATTCAACGCCTCTCTTGGGTTCGACCCTTTCTTACCCTTGCTAATAGTTAGTGAGACCAAGATAGGAGTTTTTATCTTTGGTAGGCTCGACGACGGCCTATCAAATTTTGGCGCCGTTGCCGGGGAGGCAAAGTCACATTGAATGTATTATTGTTGAATGAGACTAGATGTGTGTATATGTATAGTATTTTTCTTTCCTTAATTTTTGATTATGTGTGCTTAACTTGTGATAGTCATTGCTAACGTTTTTCTTAGCTTTGTTTGACTTTGCATGACACGAAAGAGTAAGCAATCACCGCTGATTCCCGTTGACCCAGAGCTAAATAGGACTTTGAGAAACGTGAGGAGACTCTTGTACGGCACACCCGAGTTCTCCATTGTATATTCGGATTCCGATCCGAAAGAGGTTTTTGGAGCTAATTAAGAAGATAACATGGGAGTGAATCCTCCACAACCTCTCCTACGAGACTATGACCACCCCAACGCCATTCCAACTTCGGAGTGGCATACGTCTTCCCACCACAAATGCAAACAACTTTGAGCTTTCACTTCAACTCATCCGTATGATTCAAAGCGATCAATTCGGAGGTAGTCCTCATGAGTGTCCTTTTGCTCATTTGGACAACTTTCTTGAGTTGTGTACAACCATCAAGCAAAACAACATTTCGGAAGAGTTCATCCGTATGCACATGTTTCAATTCTCCCTCCATGATAAAGCAAAGCATTGGTTGAGAACGGTTGAAGAGGGATCATTAAGTACATGGGACGAAGTCACTAGAGCCTTTCTTGGAAAGTATTGTCCTCCGGAAAAGACCGCCGAATTAAGAAGAAAGATCACCAATTTCAATCAAGACATTGATGAAACCTTGAGTGAAGCTTGGGAGCGTTTCAAAGATTACACAAGGAAATGCCCCCACCACGGTTTTACATCATGGATCATTGTACAAAGCTTCTATGACGGTCTTACTCCTATTTCAAGGGCCAACCTTGATTCCGGGGCCGGTGGTAGCCTCAAAAAGCTATCGGTGGATGATGCATATAAGATGATTGAAGAAGTGGCCAAGCATTACGCATATGGAGGTGATCGAAGGCAACCTCAAACAAAGTTTAGGGAGGAATTCATGATCTTAGTGCAATAGATCTTATTGCATCAAAGTTTGATATGCTAGCTCACAAGCTAGATCAAGCCACCCTCACACCCTCAAGTTCTTCCTCACAAGTCATGTCTTGTGAGACTTGTGGAGGAAATGATCACTTGTCCTCTTATTGCAACTCAACAAATCAAGAGCAAGCGGCGGCAATTGGGCAAAGAAATGAGCAATACTCCCAATCCTACAATCAAAGTTGGAAACCCCAACAAAACACGGGATGGAAGCAACACAACCAAGGCCCCCCACAAAACAACTACAACCAAAACCAAAACCAAAACAAACCTCAAAACCACTACAACCAATCCCACTCTCAAAATCAACAAGCTCCATACCGCCACCCTAACCAAAGGGATCAAAACCATCAAAGATCACAATATAACCAACCCACTCCTCCTTCTCCACCTCCTTAAAAGACTAGCCTTGAATCCGTTCTTGAAACTTTCATGACACAACAAATAAGGAGCAATGCGGATATGAATGCAAACATCCAACAACTTCAAGCGCACAACAAGATAATGGAGAGCCAATTGGCTCAAATTGCACAACAAGTTGGAAGTTCATCCTCCAATCCTAGCGGTCACTTTCCAAGCTCAACGGTAGTGAACCCAAAGGAGAAAGCTAAGGCTATTACTTTGAGATCGGGAAGAGGCTATGAGGGCCCGGTTATGAGTGAAGAGGAGCCACAAAAGAGAGATGAGGGAGTTGTGGTGAGAAGTGAGGATGATTTTGAAAATGAAGTAGTTGAAGTTAAGAAAAAAGAACAACAAAAGAGTGATGAGGAAGCCACAAAGAGATATGAGGGAGATGAAGGAAGCGTAGAAAAGCCCCCTATGAGAGTATATAAGCCCCCCATTCCGTTTCCTCATAGAATTGTAGAGAAGAAGTTGAATGAGAAGTTTTCAAAATTTCTTGAAGCCATGAGAGGACTTCAAGTGAACATCCCCTTTCTTCATGCTATGTCACAAATGCCTACATATGCAAAATTTTTGAAGGATCTTCTATCCAACAAGAGTAGGCTTGAAGAGAGTGCAACCATCTCCCTTCTTAAGGAGGTGAGTGCAATCATTCAAAACAAGCTTCCCCAAAAGCTTGGTGACCCCGCTAGCTATGCAATACCGGTGAAGATTGGAGATTTGGAAGCTATGGATGCTTTATGTGATCTTGGGGCAAGTGTGAGCTTGATGCCCTATTCTATTGCAAAGAGCTTGAAAGTTGGAGACTTGAAACCAACAAGAATGTCCTTACAACTAGCCGACCGCACGGTTAGGCTACCTTTGGGGATTCTTGAAGATGTGCCGGTTCAAGTTGGAAGAGTATTTGTGCCATGTGATTTTGTAGTAATGGAGATGGAAGAAGATTCAAGAGTACCCCTCATTTTGGGGAGACCATTTTTAAACACCGCGGGAGTGATGATTGATATGAAAGAAGGAAGATTGACTTTGAATGTGGGAGATGAGAAAATTTCATTTTCATTCTCACAAACTTTGAAAAAGCCATTGATTGATGAGGTTCATAGAATTGACACATTGGAGAGGGACTTAGAAGAGTTCCGGGAAATATTGTATGAAAGTGATCCTTTACAAGCCACCTTAACGGGAAGCTTAGTTGAGGAGGGTGAAGAAGCAAAGGGGTATGATCTCTTACTCAACCAACCTTTGGTCCATGATGTGATGAAATTTGATGTGCTTAACGTGGAGGCAAAAGAGGAGAGGACTACGCCTCCTCCTAAGGTTGAACTTAAACCCCTTCCCCCTCTACTTAAATATGCTTTTCTTGATGATAGTGAGAGTTATCCCGTTATTGTCAATGCTAAGCTCGATGACACCTCTCTTGAGAAACTCCTAGTTGTTCTAAGGGAGTATAGAGATGTCATTGGGTACAAAATTGATGACATTAAGGGGATAAGTCCCACCATTTGCATGCATAAAATTCTACTTGATGATGATCATGCTTCCTCGATTGAGCACCAAAGAAGGCTCAATCACAACATGAAGGAAGTGGTGAAAAAAGAAGTTTTGAAACTTCTTGAAGCGGGCATAATCTACCCTATCTCCGATAGTAAGTGGGTTAGCCCGGTTCAAGTTGTGCCTAAAAAGGGAGGCATGACCATCATCAAAAATGATAAGGGTGAGACCATTTCTACGAGGTCGGTCACCGGGTGGAGGATGTGCATTGATTATCGAAAATTGAATAAATTCACCCGGAAAGACCACTTCCCACTCCCCTTCATTGATCAAATATTGGAAAGACTAGCATCACATAGTCATTATTGCTTCTTGGATGGATACTCGGAATTCTTTCAAATCCCAATCCAACCCGAGGACCAAGAAAAGACTACATTCACATGTCCTTTTGGCACCTTTGCATATCGAAGAATGCCATTTGGACTTTGTAATGCACCTTCCACATTTCAAAGGTGTATGATGTCTATTTTTTCCGACATGCTTGAATCATCAATTGAGGTATTCATGGATGACTTTTCTGTTTTTGGTTCATCTTTTGACACTTGTCTTTCAAATTTGATTAAATTGTTAAAAAGATGTCAAGAGATGAACTTAGTTTTGAATTAGGAGAAATGTCATTTCATGGTAGAGGAGGGTATTGTTCTTGGTCATGTGATTTCTAGTAGGGGCATTGAGGTAGATCGTGCGAAGATTGAAGTAATTGAGCGCCTCCCACCCCCTACAAATGTGAGGGGAATAAGGAGCTTTCTTGGACATGCGGGTTTTTACCGCCGGTTCATAAAGGATTTTTCAAAAATCGCAAAGTCGCTCACTCAATTGTTGGTAAAAGATGTCCCTTTTGTGTTTACTAATGATTGTTTGCTAGCATTTGATAGGTTGAAGGAGGCCTTGATTTCGGATCCTATCATTCAACCCCCTAATTGGGAGCTTCCTTTCGAGCTTATGTGTGATGCTTCGGATTTTGCCGTTGGGTCCGTTCTTGGACAAAGGAAAGACAAGAAGCTCCATGCTATCTATTATACTAGCAAAACATTGGATGAGGCACAAAGAAATTACACAACCACGGAAAAGGAGTTTTCTAGCCATTGTTCATGCAATTGAGAAGTTTAGGTTCTACTTGTTGGGCTCTAAGGTCATAGTCTTCACCGACCATGCGGCCTTGAAGTACCTCTTGTCCAAGAAAGAACCTAAGCCAAGATTGATACGGTGGGTCTTGCTCTTGCAAGACTATGATATTGAGATTAGAGACAAAAAGGGTGCCGAAAATGTGGTGGCCGATCATCTTTCACGGTTGCCTATCTTCGTAGGTGGTCTTGATAACTTGCCAATTGATGATTCATTTCCGGATGATCGACTATTTGCTATCCTTCAAGCACCGGCACCATGGTTTGCGGACATTGCAAACTACTTGTCTTGCTCTATTCTTCCTCCCGACCTCACCTATCAACAAAAAAGGAAGTTTCTTCATGATGTTCGTCAATACTTTTGGGACGACCCTTGCTCTTTAAACAAGGTGTTGATGGCCTTTTTAGAAGGTGTGTCCCGGATGATGAGATTGAAAGTGTTATCACAATGTGTCACTCCTCACCTTGCGGAGGGCATATGAGTGCTAACAAAACTTTGGCGAAAATCTTACAATGTGGTTTCTATTGGCCTTCAATGTTCAAAGATGTGTGGGGTCTAGTGAAAGCTTGTGACCGGTTTCAAAGAACCGGAAATATTTCAAGAAGAAGTGAAATGCCATTGAACAACATTCTTGAGTTGGAGATTTTTGATGTATGGGGCATAGATTTTATGGGGCCTTTCCCGACCTCTTTTGGGAATAAATTCATTCTTGTGGCCATCGATTACGTGTCAAAGTGGGTAGAAGCGGTTGCATTTCCTACTAATGATGCTAAGGTGGTGGTCAAACTCTTCAAGAAGGTCATTTTTCCAAGGTTCGGGGGTGCCACGTGCCGTCATTAGTGATGGAGGTTCGCATTTTGCAAAGCGGTCCTTCCAAGCTCTTCTTGGGAAGTACGGTGTGAGGCACAAGGTGTCATTGGCTTACCACCCTCAAACAAGTGGTCAAGCCGAGATTTCAAACCTGGAGATAAAGGTGATCTTAGAGAAGACGGTGGATAGGTCTAGAAAGGATTGGTCTACGAAGCTAGATGATGCTTTATGGGCCTATCGTACCGCATTCAAGACTCCCATTGGCACCACCCCTTACAAGCTTGTATATGGGAAATCATGCCATTTGTCGGTAGAACTTGAGTATCGTGCTCATTGGGCTATTAAAACGTTGAACTTTGACCTTCAAAGTGCCGGTGAAAAGAGGTTGCTTGACCTCCATGCCTTGGAAGAGCTAAGATTGGATGCATATGAGAATGCACGGATCTACAAAGAAAAGACCAAGGCTTGGCATGACAAGCATATCAACAAAAGAGAGTTCAAGGAAGGTGACAAGGTCTTACTATTCAATTCCCGGTTGAAGTTGTTTCCGGGTAAGCTGAAATCAAGATGGAGTGGACCTTTTACCGTCAAGAAGGTGTTTCCATACGGTGCAATCGAAATATCCAAGGAAAATGGTGAACCGTTCAAAGTAAATGGCCAAAGGCTAAAGGCGTACTTTGACGGTTTTGTGAATGAAGGAGTCAAAATTATTCACCTTGATGAGTTCGATGCTCCTCAATAACATTTGATCCCGCAATGTCGTCAAGCTAGTGACGTTAAACAAGCGCTTCCGGGAGGCAACCCGAGTTCTTCACTCTCTCTCATAAATTATTATTTCATTTGTTTTATTTTTATTATTACTAACCCTTTTTTTTATATATCTTTTGTAGGTATTTATTGAAAGAGGAGTAATAATAATAATATAAAAAAAAAAACAGTAGAAATCGTGCACCATCAGGTCTGCACGGCCGTGCAGAACACTGCACGTCCGTGCAGATGAGAGCAGAAGCAGCAAAATGTCAAAGGACTGAAATCTGGGTTTTGGCACGTCCGTGCCTAAACAGCACGTCCGTGCAGCTGAAGTGACACGCCCGTGCATAAGTTTGCACGTCCGTGCATCCGAAGTCGGAACCATCAGCAATTCTGCTGACCCTGCACGTCCGTGTCATCATATGCACGTCCGTGCAGTTTAAGTGGCATGTCCGTCCGTAATTCAGCACGTCCGTGCAGTCGAAGCCAGAAACGAGCACCAGTTCTGACTGGAGCTGCACGTCCGTGCCAACCCTGCACGTCCGTGCAGCCCCAGTATAAGGCCCATTTCGCACGGTTTGACAACATTCAAAAAAAAAATGTTCACCTCACCTCTCTAAATCTCACGATTCTCTCTCCTCTCTCTCTATCTCTAAACTCCATCTTCCTCCTCCTCTTAAACTCCATCAAACACTCAAATCCTCACCCACATTCAACATTTTTCATCAAAAATCTCACTCCTTTTCAACAAATTTACAAAATACTACTCCATTCTCCATATTTAAACCCAAAAAACACCCAAATTTTTCAAGCCCTAACAAAAAAAATCAAATTGGGGGTTTTCTTGTGGGTTGAAAATCAAAGCAATTGGTTGAAGGAGGAGGCTCAAGCAAGCACAAGGAAGGTTAGAAAGGTTCATTTGCGGGTTTTACACCCACGTTAGACCCGGTATAATCGTTCTTTCTACTCACTACTTCCAGACTTACAATCTTGATATTTTGTGCTTAATTTTGCTTGAAAAGTTGTTTGAATTGGTAGTGAGGGAACAATTGTTGATATATGTTAAGCATTTTTGACATTGATAGTGCTTTATGAATTTTGAGAAAATTGGGTGTTTGTAAGTGAGTAAGATTTGGAGGATTTTATTTGGTGAATGAAGAGCATGCTAGCCTAGTTGTGTTGTTGTTGTGATGAATTGTTGACATGAATGCATGAGTTTTTCAACTCTTGGTGTTGAATTGTTGTGATTCGAAATAGTGAAGACCATCTTGGTTGTTTTTGTGATTGCTTGAAATTGATCCTAGGTGGTGTATTTAGAGCCCCAACGTGTTTTGTGTGGTGTTTGTTGGTGTTGATTGAGCCTTGAATCGTTGTCTAGGCGGACCTAGAGCTCTTGTGTGTTTGGTGTGGTGACTTTAATTTTCGTGGCGTGTTTAATTGTTTTGCATAAGAACCAACCATGTCAAGAAGAAACCGCCCAAGAAACACCTCCTCCGCTAGACTTATGAAACCATCGCCTCCTCCCCCCGTTGCTCCACCACAAGTGGATACAATGGGAATAATTTTCAATGACCCGGCCTTTTCGGCCAACTTTCTTAGGAATAGTAGGAGGCGAATTAGGCCCACTAAGTTTTACGATGAAGAGGTAGCCAATGCCCTAGGGGTGGGTGACGATGTTAGGATGTTGTTTGAGGGTACCGACTTAGGTTCTTGGCTACAATTACATGCCCAAACCTATAGGAGACTAACCCTTGAATTCCTCTCCACCCTTTATGTGCATCGGGACACCACGAGGACCCCCCGCTACATAACTTTCCAACTCATGAACACCCAACATAAAATGACTATAGCTAGAGTTAACCAAGCTTTTGGGTGGCCCACAATTGGAACCATCGGACCTAAGGATAGGCAACCCCGTGTCTATAATGCGGGAGATTTTTGGAGAAGAATCTCGGGGGCTTTTGAGTACAACCCTAGGTCTGATAAGGCCACCGCCATTATCCACCCTGCATTCAGACTCTTACAGCGCACTATAGCAAATACGACGTTTGCTAGGGGGGATAGCTCGGGGGTGGTGTCCACAAGGGAGCTCTACTTCCTTTGGCACCTGAGTGAGGGTAACACTAGCTTGGATGTGGGGTCTTGGTTTGTAGACCACCTTGAGGATGTTGCCACAGGATCTGACAACATCACCATAGGTGGCATGATTACTATTATTGTTGTTGCTCTTAACCTTGATTTTGCAGATGAAGAGATTGTCCCAGGACCGACACAGTTGGACATGCAGTCATTGAGGGCCATGAAGTGGCTCACAGATGTAGAGGGGAACTACCCCTACTTGTGGTTGGTGAGTAGGCGTCCCTATGCCTATCTCCCTGACCCGGAAGCCACCGCCATCTATAACCAGGGCAATTGGATTTTTGCAATGGACTTCCCTTGGGCTCCCGGTGAAGAGGGAAAAGAGCAAGGACAAGAGCAGCAACATCAACAACATCATCAACAACAACATCAACAACAACATCAACAATTTCATCAACAACACGAGTTCCAACAGGGGCACCAAGATCAAGGCGTGGGTGAAAACAACCCCTACCTTACTTTTGAGCAGCAAATCACCAACATGAATGCGAATTTTGCCCGCATGACCACCGAATTTGAGACCATGAGGAAGTCAAACGAAGACATGAGGACTTCTTTCGACGGAATGAGAACAAGTTTCAAGGGTCTTAGATCGGAGTTGGGCGATTTTCGAAATGTGTACCGGCATCTCTACCCGGGGGCTCAAGCTCCCAAGGGGGCCCGAACCAATGAGTTAGTTTCTTCCTCCCCTTCTCCTTGTGCTTGCATTGCTTTAACATTGGGGACGATGTTTATGATAGCTTGGGGGGGGGGGAGTGTTTTCTCATGTGTCATTGGTTCATGTTGTGTTTTCGTGTTTCCATGTTGAGTTTGCATGTTGTTTATTCCCATTCCCTTCTTCCCTAACATCCAAATCCTTTAAATCCAAATTTGCTCCCTTTGAAATCCAATACCCTAAATCCAAATTTCTTATCTTGTGAATACCTCTCTTATCTTTTTATTTAGATGTATAGTATTTTTATTTTTATGCTTAGTTTAGCTAGTCTAATGCTGTAATTTTTCTTTTGTTAATTAAAAAAAAAAAATTGAAAAACGAAAAAATATTGAAAAATGAAAAAATTGCCCAAGGATGAAACTCAAATGACGACGCTAATATGTTTTGCTTGCTTGACTCTTGAGTGATGAGTAAAAGTTCTTTTAGAAGGGTGTATGCAAGAGTTGGGGTCATTTAGAGGTCTATTAATCCTGGTTGCATTAGTGTATATGAAATGAAAGCCGATGAATGCTCAATTGCACGTCTAGCATAGGATATTGTCAAATTTGCCCAAAGTAGGATATGTTTGAATCAAATTGCGGTCCCTTGTGCCTTTAATGTGCCTCCTCTCCTCCCTGAAATGAAACTCTATTAAGGAATTAGCTCTACTTGTATTATGTGTAATAAGTGGCATAATAAGCCACATGTTTCGAATAAAGAAAGAGCCGCTCACAGTTAAAAGAGGCGAGGGCAATGATGTTGAAAAAAAAAACAAATAGAAAAGAAGGGAGAACAAAAACTCCCCCAAAATTCTCAAAATTTTGATTTTCTTTTCTTTAGAGGTCAACTTGTGGATGCCTCCCACACATTGTCTACTATGATTTTTATTGTTTCTTGTGAAATTCCCGAGTTAGAGTGTAATTAAGGGGCCTTGGGTGTGTATTTTGAGAGGTGGACTAGCATTTTGAGATTTTATAACCGAAAGAGGGCTTGTTACAACTTTGGAATATCTAGATGTGCTCTTATGAACTAGTAAAAGGTCTAAAGAAGTATCCTAATGCAACCTTGCTTAGTTTCCCTCTTTACCCCCAACTCATGTGTACATTTATATGATTGGTAATCCTTGAAAGTTGCTCACTTGACTTGCTTGCGATTTATATCCCAATGAGTTGACTTGGGTGATAAAAATATTGGAATTTGTGTAGTTGATAGTTTTGTCGTGGTCTGTGTGAGTTGTGGGTTAAGCTCAATGGAAACCCTCACGAGATAAAAACTCGTCCTCTAAGGCGACTTAGAGGTTTAAATTGCTTCTCACTTGTGCTAAAAGTGATTATGGTTGTCACCATGCGGATTTGTGTATTTATGCTTCCTCCTTGTTGCCGCTCCTTGGATTGATGTTAGCAAAATGTTTTCCTCCTATGGTTCGACATGTTTGTTTTGCTCAAGGACGAGCAAAAGCTTAGCTTGGGGGGATTTGATAACTTGCTATTTGATATGATTTTAGGGTGTTTTTGAACCTAGTTTACTTGATAAAATTTGTGTTTTGGTTCACTTTTACTCTATTATTATGCAATTTTTGTGTGTCCTATGCTTCACGGGTTGTTAGTGTTTTTGTTGAGATTCTAGGTTCAAAGACGACCAAATGAAGCCCATGGATACAAAACCGAGGTTAGAAGCAAGAAGATGGTAGAAAGAAGCCAAGAAAAGGAGCAATATAGAAGAAAAGATGGAAAAAAAAGGGCTTAGAAGACCCTACACGGCCGTGCCAGACCTTGCACGTCCGTGCAGGAGTGCTCCAGAAAGTTGCAACATTCTGCTAAGGCCTGCACGGCCGTGCTTAAGTTGGCACGTCCGTGCAGAAGAGGCTGCACGTCAACTGGCACGTTCGTGCAAGATTTCAAGCCCAAGCAGTAGCTTCTGCCATGCCCTGCATGGCCGTGCGTAAGGCAGCACGTCCGTGCAGCTTGGTCTGCACGTCCGTGCCAAACCTGGCACGTCCGTGCAGACCTGCAGTCAAGCCCGACTCTTGTTTTCTCCGTCCTTTTTATTTGGGGGTCTTATAAATACCCCCTTTTGGCTCATTTGTACGAACCAGCAAGGTTTTTAGAGCTTTATCTTAGTTTTGCAATCTTAGAACATTAAATTCTCAAATCATTAGTTAGTTCTTAATTAGTAGCTTGGAATTATTCAAATTCAATCATTGTAGAAGACAAAGTCCACCATTGTTGCTCACCTTGAAGCTTCATAGTAACCATTTCTTACTCATCTTTTCTACTTCTCTTTACTTTGTTGTTAATTACTTGCTAGTTCTTGCATGTTTAGATTGTTAATTAGCTTAATCCTTAGTTTGAACTTGTTCATGAATTGCTTGAAATCTTTAATTGCTTTAATCTCCATGGATTGTAAGTAGTCCAATTTCTAGGGTTTGGGCAAAACCCTCAATGTAGTCATTAATTACTTGTTGCATGTGCTAATTTGGTTGTTGTGGGATGTTAATTAGTTGAGCTTAAGTGGTTTAATTGCTTAGTTCTTGTATATGGCCATTGCTAGAACTATTTATCCAAGCTTGCTCAACGAAGGATCGAGAGATGAACTTGAGTTAGCTCCCTTATGCTTGATTGACCCGAAATGCCATGAGAATAGTAATTTCCGGTCAAGGGAATGTTTATGTCATCGTGATTATTCTTTAACACTTGTTTTATGCTTTGTAACCACGAGAGTAGGTTGTATTCATGATTCAAGTAATCCCTCTAGCTTGAGAGAGTAGTTGAGTGCCTTAGATGACTTCCCCTAATTTATCCCATTAATTTACCTTGATTGTTGCATGCTAATTGTGATTTGTGATGAAGTTGAGTGGTATAACCCGAGCCCTAGATTCCTCTAAATATTGTTAATCTCCTCTTAGCTTTAATTGAATTGAACTAGTAGAACTTACTCAAGAACAAACCAACTTCGACTTCATTTAGCTTATTTAAATGGTAGTACTCGGTGGTTGATTCAACGCCTCGCTTGGGTTCGACCCTTTCTTACCCTTGCTACTAGTTAGTGAGACCAAGATAGGAGTTTTTATCTTTGGTAGGCTCGACGACGACCTATTAGTCAACCACCATAAACAAGAACAATCCCCGACCACACCAACCACCACCGCCCACCCGCCGCCACCCTAAACCACCCTAAAAACACCAAATTTACCCAAATTCACTCAAAATTACTCAAAAAAACATTAGATCTGAAATTAAACCCAAAAAACAATAATTAACTTGAAATAAACAAATTAACCCTTAAAAACTATAATGAACTTCAAATAAACGAGAAATAATCCCAAAAAACCAAGATAACCAGAAATTAAACGAAAATTGACAAAAAAAAAAGGAATTAGAAATGAAAAAATGACGAAGTTATATATATATATATATAAATACAACCAAATAAAAAAACGAAAATTAACATAAACCACAACAATAAGAACAAAAATTACACACAAATTATACGGGTTTATATGGTCCAAAATTCGACCATCAAGATTCCAGATCTGGAATTTTTATGGTCGAATTAGACCAAATAAACCGGCTTTGTTGAATATATGGGTTTACATACTTGAATTCATGCTCAAAAGAGAAGAGAAAGAGAGGAGAGAGAGAGGATAGAGCATAGAGCCAAGAGATCAGAGGAAAGAGAAAGTAAGAGCAAGAGAGGAGAGAGAGAGAAAGTGAGATATAGAAAGAGAAAGTGAGAGTTGAGTTAGGAGAGAGGTGAGAGAAAAAGAGAGGAGAAAGAGAGATGAGAAAGAAAGCTAAGGCAGATAAACAACCTAGCGCATTTAATTAGGGTTTAGCATATTTGGGCCACAAAAATTGAAATTGTGTCGCCCAATATTAATATCATGTGCCACACTTTTAAAATCTGTAGCCTATATTTGTTTTTGTGCGATGAAAATACAAAAGTGTCGCCCAAGATTTCCCTTTGGGCTACAAATAATTTTCATCGCCCTTTCTCACCCATGTGCCACGTTTATTTTTTGTCGCCCCTCAAGACTTAATTTTAACGCCCAAAATTCTTTTTCTTGTAGTGTAACTAACTAACATTAGTAGAGTTTCAATCCTACCCCGTGGACCAAGTAGAGGACTCGCGTTTGAGGTTCTTATTCTCCTAGCTTTTGTGGTCGATTGCACGTGGATATCACACATCAAAGGTATAATTTATGTGTAGTGCTTGTAGATCTTGATTAGGTGCGAACATAGTACCTAATTTCTACAATATTTGGGATTCTTCATGGATATTAAAAAATGGATATAGTAGATGCTCATGATTAATCTACCCATGTTTTTAGAAAAAATAACATTAATTAATTAAACTGATCTATGCATATTTTTGTCATAACTCCTAAATTTGTACAATTTTAAAAAGTGTATTTAATGTTTATATGTAGCCCTATTACATTACTTTTTTTTAAAAAAAAATTTGTAATATTAAACACGTCTTACAAATAATTAACAATATACTTAGTAAAATATAAACATGCAATAGTACGTCCAAAAACAAAAACAAACAATATAAAGAATGGAAAAATGTAATTATATACTAAATAAATAACCAAAGATGTTTAGATATATATTTATTGGAATGGACAATGAGATCATAGCTAAGATAGTAACATTAGAATGTTTTTCAACCATCATATTTATTTCAACATAAAGTTACAAGTAATATTAGCCAATGTAGTACATCGGGTCAGGCAACTTAAAGGTCCTCAAGCCAGGGTGTGATCCTAATAGATCGCTCCACTGGTCACCCATGTTGCCAATTATAGTGTATCCCATCTTTTCTAGCTTTGTCCTATGCATTGATTTGTACTCCACTGCTTTCATGTGTGACTCACTTGATTTCCTTTTGTATTATCAATTCCAAAATAAATAAACACAATCATTTTCCATACCAAGATCAAATCGATATATTTGGAAAATGTGATATGGATTTTCTTTTTTTTAAAAAAAAAAAATCTATTTCTATACATCAATTAAGTAGAAAATCCTTTAATATCAAATTAAAAAGCAAATCAACTTGCCACCTCTAAAGTGACTTCACTAGAAATTTGTGACCATGATTTTTGAATTTTTTTTTATTTAAATACTTGTATTTATAAATTATTGGAGAAAATAAGTACACAATTGATACATTGTATCGTTAAAACAATATAGTTCAATTTAAGAACTATTACAGACCAATTGATGTTTTAATATGTTGTTTTTAAATTGTACTCTGTAAATCACGTGTAATGGAAAATATCCTTCTAAATGAAAGTATAAGTGAAGATATTTAGATTTTCTATTTAAATAAATAATCCTCTAAAAATGATGTGCTCAAAATGCTTTATCAAAAAATGAATACTCTTATAAGATTGTTGTTTCTTTTAAAGTGATCAAAGATTACAATTTGGATTTTAGCTAAAAATATATACTAATTGCAATCTTAACTTACTTTAAGATCATCTTTTCCCAAGTATGATAGCCAATGTTCTTCATGTTGCGCTCTTTGGGCTCTCTTAACTCGGCTTGAGCTCCTGAAAGGAAAACAACTTTGACACCAAGCCGAACTAATTTGTTGTAGAAGCTTAGCACTGCGGGTATTGCTGGTGCAATTGCTTCCTTTTGCCATTCATAGAATGCTGAAGCATTGTATGGGTATATTTTGTATATTTTGCATTTAATCCAATTACATTAGAAATAATGTAGTACTTATAGTATGAGGTATCTAGATCTACCTAGTTAATGAGTGGAATATGGGGATATTTTATTTTTAGGGTCCAGGTTCAAATATCTGGTTTTGAAATAGGAAAAGAGTTTGATCCACAAATAAGGTCTAAGGAAGTTCCATACAAAAACCAATTAGTTATATAGTTGGAGTAACTCTTCTACCTATAAAATGGAACAATTTCTCCTCTTTCTTCAATGTGGGACACTCATAAGTGGATTTATAATAGATTTCAACAGATACAAACCTTAAGAGTCTAGGTTTACATCAGATTGTTGGGTAAGGTTTAGGGTTATGGTCCTACCACCCAACGTCCCAACCCATGCCCATCCCGAGCGTGGAGTGTTTTGATTGTTATGCATTGTGAAGTTTGCCTAATAATGGACCACTATTCTTGGTTAATTCCAATATATACTTTCATAAGCGAATATGATCCATTACTTTTTGTTATTGTTTACACCTACTTAAAAATTAAACCAATAGATTTGGCACTTTCGAGGAAAACGAAAAATAAATAAATAAATAAACCTCCTCACACCTCTTAAACATTAAACGGCCTATTATCGGCCACTAAGTACAGTTTAAAAAAATAAAAAAAAAATCCAATATTTGCCTAAAAACAAAGTGAATTAATTTGTCTAAAATCATGTTGTGTAATAAGTGATGCGAATAATGCCACGAATAAGGAGTATAGAATTAAAATAAGCTAAGTAAATGATTTAAAGTCATAGGGTCAGATAACTTTAAAGATGGTATGTATAGTAATCAAAAGAATCTGCGACTCATCTTACTTAAAATTTAATAAATCTCATTTGCATCTTTGTACCTTAAATATAAGAAAATCAATGAATTAAGATATACTAAAAGCTAAGGAACTTACCCAAATCCAACTTCTGGCCTAGCATAGTAGGGCAAATTAGAGAGGGAAGTCTCATCAATGTCAAATATCCAAGTGTTGTTACGACCATTTTTAAGTGATAGGCTTTTAAGATAGCCATAAGCAGCAGAAGTAACAGCCAAACAATCTTTATGATATTGAGCACCCATCATGTAGTGTCCTACATAACCCTGACATTCTTCCGAGAGCATCCAATCTCGGAGATTGTTCGTCTCCACGGCCAGCCGCCAACTCAAGCAATTTAGGCCTTTGATTCGGTGGCCTGCCGAGCCAGAATGGGGCATGAGGAGATGTATTGGGTGTGGATATTCATGAGCATAAACATTATCATCAAAGAAGGAGGTCACTACAACCCCTAGGAGGAATATCATAGAAAACCCTCTTAAGAAGCTCATAATGTTATATGGCTATGTTATTATAGGAGTTTTTTTGGTCATGTGAACTTCAGAGTACGTTGCTTGTTATAAAGGATTTTGGTGTAAAAATGACCCTCGTTTTGTTAGCAATTTACTAGTAAGGCTATCCTTTAATGTGATTTAAGCTTTACCCTTCAATTATTTGTGGGGTTGAACATTTTTCACGTGTAAATGTATGTGTAAATAGTGTAATGCTTGAGGATAAAATATAGCACGGCCAAAACGTAATAAATTTGATACTTTTACAGTTATGGTTGGTAGTAAAATATATATATATGGTGCAAATAATTATCACCTAGTTCTGTGTCAGAATTTAAAAAATTAAAAAAAATTGTGACCTAGTTTAAATTTGTCGAAGGCTTGAAGAGCATGTTAAATGGGTTTCGATTGCTCAAGTAAGATTTAAAGGAGAGAAAGTATTGCAAAAGATAAAAGACCACTTCAAATAATTAATAAGATTTTCTAAAAGGATAGGAATCTCCGGTTCTCCACCCTTAAAGTATATCTGATCTAGTAAAGATTTAACTCCAACCTCAAAGGTAAAAGATTTCTTTCTTATTATAAGGTCAATATTGTGTTGGTAAAAAATTATGCAAGATACATGGAATAAAAAAGTGTGAATGATCCTCCTACAAGAAAGGACAACGAGATCCTTATATAAATGACATAAGAGACCTGTTTAGAGGAGGTATCACCGTATCAAGCTCATAGATCTCTTTGATAAAGAGCCCACCTCAATTGAACAAGTCTCTTAATGATCAATAAGAGACCTGTTAAGTAAGACAACAAATCTCTTTCCATGTAGTTAAATTATATACTTCCTCCGTTCTTTTTTTATTGCACCATGAGGGATTTCACGCTTGCCAATGTATTAATTAAGCTATTAATATCTTCTATAATACTTTTGTAAAAATTATAAAAAAATGATATTTGAAAATTAAATTTCGAGACAAATCTAATTAGATCGCACATGATTATGTTTTTCCTAATGGATAAATCACAAATGATGGTCAAAGAAAATTAAGTGAATAGTGTAAAAGTCCTTATAATGCAATAAAAGAAAAACGGAGGAGGTATTTAGAAAGGTAGATAAAATTATTAACATACTAGGAAATAAATCAAATCATAAACAAATGACACAACATTATTATCGCCAAAATTGTACACAAAACATAACAAAGCACAAAGAGCCAAAGAAATCAAATCATGCAACCCACCATGATGTTTGTGTTCTTGTAATTATCAGCCAACATTATTCTGATTGTGTAAGATTGCGTCTTGTTATTATAAGACTAATTTTGTGAGTCATTGCATATATGTGATCCTATTTCCGTTTCTTTTTTTACTTAAGAGCTTAGTTCAACGCATTTATAACGTGGTCTTATGATGCTATGGCCATTTTTTTTTTTAAAAAAAAAAAATAAAATAAAATAAGTGTACTTCTAATTAGCCATTTATGTGTGCAATGTGTGTGATTTTTTTTTTTTTAATGCATAATATATATTGTAAATTGACCAGTGAAATGTTTTTTTTTTTTTTAGAAAGTAATCTAACCAAAAGGGAAAAATGATAGATAAAAATAATCACGTAAATGATTAAAAGATCTAGAGTAGTTCAACAATGTGAATTTTGTCTACAAATAAAAATCTTAATGGTTAATGACTTTTATTTTTTCATGATTAAGGGTCTGTTCTGTTCACCTTATTTTCATTTATATCAGGTCTAATAAGTTCAGACAAGTTCCGTTAAGTTCAATTTAGAAAAAATAAGTTTTGATAAAAGTTGCTTAAGTTGAAATCTAATCTAATCTAATCTTATATATATTAATAAAGTAGGCATTTTTGAAGAGCATTCGGAGCGCCACGTAAGAAATATACTTATTTCGACCAATAAGAAGAAAGATTTGTATTTTATTTTTAAATTAAAAAATTATGTCACCACCTAGATAAAAGTAACGAATTAGATTTGATATATCTAAAATTTTAATGCCACGTAGATTATAATCCACGAATTAAATTACTTTAATGAAAAAAAATAAAGTAAAAAATATAGAAAAGATAAATTTATTAATTCAATACTACGAGTATAAGAAATCCAAAAAAAAAAACTATACTAAGAAATATTTAAATGACAAATGCTTATAATAAAGTTTGATACCTATCATTATAAGATAAATTTTGATAGTATTTATGATAAAAAATACAAATTGTTCGTTAATTATAATTAAATTAAAATTTGTGATACCTACCATTACAAATTGACACATCATACGACATAAACAAAATTTCGTATCAATAAAAAACCCCATCAAGCGAATTTTTTGTTAATAACTTTGTGTTAATTTTTGGTCATCAATGGCCGGGTAATTTTTAGCTTAATTTTTAAAATCCTATGTTTAAATTAGTATCTCTAATTATTACTTACATTGTATTAATTTGGGATACTCAACGATTTAATGTTTATGTTTTATTTACTAAATGTTTTTTTACATGCAGATCTAACACATCATACGACACAAATAAAATTTCGTATCAATACAAAACCCCATCAAGCGAATTTTGTGTTAGTTTTAGGTCATCAATGTCCGGATAATTTTTAAAATCTTATGTTTAAATTTATATTTGTAATTATTAGTTACATTGTATTTATTTAGGATATTTGACGATTATTTGTTTATGTAATGGCACACGATTAGATGTTGTATACTTAATATATGGATGGCTTTGGTTATTTTTGGAGATGATGAAAAAATTCCAATGCATAGATTTGATTTTATATCGCAACAATTTTTCATTTATTGGTAAATATATTGATTTATTTTATATAAATGTAAAGATTTAATTTATATCAATTTCAGTTTGGCTAACATTTCACGGTTCAATTTATCCATTGATGTAGTAGGTTGGTTGTGGACGAGGTTGGTGATTCTATCGAAATTAAAGATATGGTAAAACAATGAATAATGATTTAGGATTTAAATTATTAAAAATTTATCATTTCACATTAAAGATTTTATATAACGGAAAAAAATATCATATTTACAATTTATTTATATTTAATAAATTCATTATAAATTATAGTAAAAATATATAAATATTAAAATTTTATAATTTTGTCTGAAATTATTAAATACAATAAATCAAATAATTAAAAATCTTAGATGAAAAAATCGTGCATCGCACGGACTTCCATCTAGATAAAAGTAACGAATTAGATTTGATATATCTAAAATTTTTAATGCCACGTAGATTATAATCCATGAATTAAATTATTTTAATGGAAAAAATAAAGTAAAATATAGAAAAAGATAAATTCATTAAATCAATACTACGAGTATAAGAAATAAAAAAAAATATAGGAAAAGATAAATCTCCAAAAAGATATTTAATTGGGTTCAATGAAAATGTCCTACTATTCAAAAAATATCTCCACGTAACTGTACTTGGTGGAGAAATATGGTAGGTTCAAATATTATTTTTTTGTAAAAAAATTTATGATATGGTGAAAATTATCTCCACATAACTAAACTTGGTGGAGAAATATGGTGGGTTCAAATATTAAGTTTTTTAATTTATGATGTGGTGGAGAAATAGGGTGGATTCAAACAGAAAAATACGTAACTATAATATGATAATTTATGAGTACATGTAGATATACATGGAATGAGAATATGACTTCATGATAACCCAATAAAATAATTAAAAAATATTCAAATGATAAACGATTATAATAAAGTTTGATACCTACCATTATAAGATAAATTTTAATAATATTTATTATAAGAAATAAAAATTGTTCGTTAATTATAATTAAATCAAAATTTGTGATACCTACCATTGTAAATTGACACATCATACGACACAAACAAAATTTCGTATTAATACAAAACCCCATCAAGTGAATTTTGTGTTAGTTTTTGGTCATCAATGGTCGGATAATGTTTAGCTTAATTTCTAAAATCCTATTTTAAATTTGTATTTGTAATTATTACCTACATTGTGTTAATTTGGGATACTGAACGATTATATGTTTATGATTTATTTACTAAATTTTGTTTTTACATGCACATCTAACGCATCATACGACACCAACAAAATTTGTATCAATACAAAACCCCATCAAGCGAATTTTTTGTTAGTAATTTTGTGTTAGTTTTAGGTCATTAATGTGCGGGTAATTTTTAAAATCCTATGTCTAAATTTATATTTGTAATTAGTACTTACATTGTATTTATTTGGGATACTTAACGATTATCTGTTTATGTGTTTGTTTACTGAATTTTGTTTTTACATGCAGATCTAATTTAATTAGAGAATTAAATTCGAGCAAAAATGATTAGAAAATCAAAGTACAAGTTTCTCGCCTATTTGACATACTAAATTTCTGTAAACAACATAGCTTAAAAGTTTGCATATGTTCCTAATGAAAGAGGAGGTAATTTTTTTTTTGTTTTTTCCTTATAAGTTGTTTAATTTACATTTATTATATTTTTTTATAAACCTCTTTAGTTTTTTATTAAATAATTTTATTAAAAAAAAAATTTGTAATTTAAGTTGCTAATCAAGTTATTAAAATAACTTAATTTCTTATTTTTAATTATAGGGTGATTACATTCTTGCCTCAATTAACACCAGCTTTGTTCAACACTTTCATCCAAAAATAATTGAAGAAAATTTTTACTTCTTTAGATACTTTTCAATCGTTCCAATCTAATGCCTTGATTTTTGTCATTATATTGATTTAATAAAAGTTTCATGCATGAATAAACACAGGGATGGACCGCATTTTAATTGCAATTAGTGGTCTTGATCTCATTGATGCAATTCATATCATACTACTTTTGATTAAAGATGTAATGGATGTATATTCTCCACAACATTGTAGACAAAATATAACAATGTGGAAGCTAGCTAATTGTTGACTAGCTTAGTTTAGTTACTAAGAAATTTTATGTTGAGCATTGTCAAGCATATGTGGTTGAAATTAATTTGTAAAGTACTCGATTTGATGCAACTATTCAAGTTAATTTTTTGGCTTTTATACATATATTTAATGCAACTATTTCAAATTAATTTTAAAAATTGTAAGAAGAAGCTTAGGTAAATGGCACATGATTTGATGTTGTATAGATATTATATGGATGTCTTTCGTTATTATTGGAGATGATGAAAAAATTCCAATGCATAGATTTGATTTTATACAATTACAATTTTTTGATCAATTCAGCAACAATTTTTCATTTATTAGTAAATATATTGATTTACTTTATATAAATGTAAAGATTTAATTTATATCAATTTTATTTTTGCTAACATAAACAATGAATAATGATTTAGGATTTTAATTTTTTAAAAAATTAAAAATTTATCTTTTCACATTAAAGATTTTAGGTAACGGATGAAATATCAGTATTATTACCAGTAGGTCTAAGTCCTTTTCTAACTAGAAGAGCAGCAAATCATCTGCTCACTGAAAAAATTACTATAAAAAAAAATTAAAATTAAACTTTTGTAATTTTGTCTATAACTATTAAATACAATGAATCAAATAATTAAAAACCTTAGATGAAAAAACCGTGCATCGCACAGGCTTTCATCTAGTTATAACTAAAATAAGTTTTAATAAAATCTAATAAATTCAGATACATTCAGATAGAACAACTACCATCTCAAAACAACGGATTTGGTTACATCCCTTGAACTTTGTCTCTCCTGAAGCTTCTGACTCAAAAAGAGCCACCTTTTTTGTGTAGACCCGAACTGGCCCGGCCCATGATCAATTCTACAAGAAATACTGTTAACATCTTCATTGCAAACTTTATTTCTAAACAATAATAGAAAAACGACAAAGGTAGACCGAACCCAGATAAACCATGAAAATGGGCCAAAATAGTAACTACTCCTTGTAGCCCATCAAATTAAAACCATCGCCCCAAAAACAAACCCTAATTTTTCCATGTTCTTTAAATACTCAAAAATCAAAATAGTTGACAGTATTCTTACACTTGTATTTTTAGTCGCCGTTTTCAATTCTTCTTTTTATCTCCTAATTTCTTCGATCAATTTTATTGTTTCTCAAAAAAGTGAAAAAAAAAATAGCAGGAATTGTGTGTATCGACGTAGTGCATTATATGCATTAATAGTCGAAAGATTTTCCTGCGATATCTAATTTCAGGGGAGGATGGGCAGTTGTGTTTCATCCTTTTGTTGATTCTTTTCAACAATCATCTTCCCTATATTTTTAATTTAAATGAATGATTTATGTTTTTTCTGGGTTTAATTTGGTGAATTATAAGATCAATGAATCAATTTGTGTTTCAATTGATAAATTAGATTAAGAGATGGATGTGTGATTGTTTCCCCAGATGATCGAAGCTAATTAAACTGTGCTATTTTAATTCTGAATTCAAGCCAGAATTCTGATCCATCTTTTTTAATTAATTTTCATGAATTAAAAATGGCATTTAAAAGACCTAGTACAGGACGTAATGATGAGTATATGGGACTGAAATCCCAAAAAAAAAAAAAAAAAAAAAAATTGTGCTAAAATTTTAAATCTATACACTTATTTTGTTCCTTGTAGTTGTATTCAATACGAAGTAATTAGATTGTGGCGAGTCCGCGCATAGGCCATTTGTTGCGAGTAATACCTAAAGGAGGGAATATTTGGTTTTTGAGAAGCATATTGAACTCTATGGGGTCGAAATCTCAATTTAGTGAAGATTTAGCAGGAATTGTATGTAATGACATTGTGCATAAAATGCATTAATTAGTCAATAGATTTTTCTGCAATATTAAATTTGAGGGGAAGATGGGCAGTTGTGTTTCATTCTTTTGTTGATTCTTTTCAACAATCATCTTCCCTACATTTTTTTTTTTAAATAAATTGTGTCACTTCCTCCGTTTGTTAATAAGTGTTACTTTTTGATCGACATATAGTTTTAAGCTATTTAATTAATTTGATTAAAATATGAGGTAATATAATATTAAAATGTAACTTTTTGCCAAAAATGGAAGTGTAATAGTTTTTAAAATACGGCCGTATTTGATAAGTGTAACACTTATTAAAACACGGAGGGAGTATATAAATTTGTTGAAGATTAAGAGATGGATGTGATGATTATTTCCCCAGATGATCGAAGTTGATTAAACTGTGCTAATTATATTCTCTTTTGAGAATCAAGCCAAAATCCTGATCCATCTTTTTTTTCTTTTAAAGAAAAGAATAATTAAATGATGTAATTACTGTATTGTAATTTTGTAAATTATCAAATGGAGTAATCTATAAATACAGGACAAAGTGATCAAGTGATTGAAGAAAAGTTTGGAAAATAATGTAATAAGAACCTAAAATAATTACAAGTAAATGGTAATTACACCAATTGATCCTTATTTTTGTTGCAAATCAAAATAATATACAAATTGTCTAGGACGAGTTAAGTCTTGATCGCTTAAACAAATTCTATCTTTCTGATTTCGACCATGCTAAAATTCCTAGACAAAAGGTAACTTAAATGAAAGTGCGAATGATGCTACCTGATGCTAATGAGTATATGCCAAAATTGAGGAAGGAAGGTGTTATTGAAGAGGTACATAGCCACTAACAAGGATTAATGGACTAATGGTTGAGGCCGGCTCAACTCAAAGTTTTCAAACCAAGGGATCAAGATAAATAAAATGGAGAATGACTAAGGGAAATTCACCATGTTGATTGATTAATCTAATAATGGAGATAGATCTGAATATCAGTTTTGACTAGTCCTCCATTTCAATAGCATATGACTAATTGCGATTTTTATAACTAATTTGACTTTATTATAGTATCATACACTACTAGCGATATGAAATCTTAATCAAACAGGTAGTTACAAACTAATCTTGTTTTATTTCAATCTACCTTGGGTAAACTAATCTCGGGGTGGCAATCTGATGATCACACTGCATGAAATTAGACTATATTGTAATTCAGGCATGGACGCAAGCTCGAAAAGTGGCTGCCTAAATCAGCTCTACTGCTCTACAAGAGTATATACTTCCTCTGTTTGTCAAATATGTGTATCATTTTGAGACTTCGTACTATTCACACACTAACTTAACTGGATTCTATCACTATCGTGTGAGTAAATATGTCATCATTTTAATTGTAGTTAGGTTAATCTGTTTACTACAGTAATTTATAATCAAAGTCATTAATGGTGACAATTCTACGTTGAAAATCGTTAAAGTCAAAATGAATAATGCATTGAGAACGGATGAAGTAACTTATTAGATACAATCATACTTAGGATCTTGTTTACTATCTGTAGTGCAAATAAAATAAAGCCAGCATGTGAAGGTTTTCAATCATAATTTCATAGGTCAACGCCAACGGTAAAGCAGCTAACGAATTGGAACCTTATTCAGTCACTAAGAAAGTAAGAAACCAAGATTTGGAAGTTCAATCACAAAATCGCTTGTTTTCTTACCAAAACAAAAACTTTTGTTGAGTCATTTTCTGAACATCAGCATATACAAGACAGTATAAACTTATTAAAAACACCCAACTAAACTACAAAAGGTCAGTCAATTTCCATTTATTGATCTTTTTCACATTTATTTCTGCTTAATCATCCCCACTTCATTTTTGTGGCTTATTATGCTTATTGAATTCAATACTTGATAAATATACAAGTAAAATACATACTCGTGTGCATGTGGGATATTGTTTGATTCGTTTAGTGGTGTCGTTTCAACATATCAACTTTCTTTCTAAGGGTTTGTTAAGGGGGATATTGGGTGATACAAGGCTGAGAATAGGTATATAAATGAAGATTCAGTATGCAGTTTTTGGACTTTGGAACATTCTACTTTATTGTCATTTGTTCAATTTTGCATTCTCCTTTGAGGATTACTATACAGACTATGCTGATCCTCAACCTTTAGTCTTTGAATACAAGCATTTTGCTGAAATCAAAAGGCATTGTCGTAGTATTCTGTCTTCAGGATCTAAACTGATACTGAATGATGCTAAGGTTGAGAGAATTAAGAATGAATTTTCTTTCTATAATGGTGATTGGGATCAAGAGAACAATGGATTATACCCTCTAATGCCTTTCGATGCAACTGATTTGCCTCTCGGAACAGGCTCAGCCTCTTTAAGTCTGATAAATTTCGAGGTCAAGGATGTTAAGTCACTTGATGATGTGCAGAGTGGAGTTGGTTTAGGTGGAGTAATGTCTATAGGAATAACAAGGAGTAAGTCTTTTAGTGCTGATCACAGAACAATGTTCTCTATGAATCCCGGTATGTCTGTTCTGAAAATAGTCTTTGAAGGTATGTATGTTGAAACAAAAGGGGATGCAGGGGAGAGATTTTTATGTATGTTGGGAAATACAACATTGCCTACTCGAAGATGGCTCATGGACTGGCAGAACGCGTACTGGAACTGGGGACATGAAAATTGTTGCCCAAACCTTGTGCAAGATGATCAGTTGGTGCTTGTTCTTAAGTACCAAGGGGCATTCAGGGAGAGATGATAAGTATGCACAAAAGATCGAGTTTTAAATTTTCCGATAAGGTCCTCATATCTTCCCAGGTTGGTTGGTTCTCAGATTATCAGTTCGGTCCAAGTAAATCAAGTTCTTGTAATACATATGCTCATCAAGAGGAGCTGATGGATACAAACAATTTTACTGGTTCGAAGTTCTGTAGAATGTTCAGAGAAATGTCGAATGAGGTTTTCAACATTTTGCCTGATCATTACACAAACTACAGTCCTACTGACAATGGGAAACTAGGCCCCTTTGTGCTAGGGAAAGAGGTGGTGTTTATTGACAAGAATTATAACAATGTAAAGCTTATGATACGGAATGTCAAGTGCAAGAACGCGAGTTTTGATGGAAAAGCAAGTAATGCAAAGGTGTCAGCGGTGTTCAGATTGGTTCCAACACAAGTAAACCGTAACACAGCATCATCTAGGACTGGTTTTTCGGGCATGACACTATCAGCTGAGGGCACATGGGATGCCTCCACAGGGAGGCTTTGTATGGTTGGATCTGTTCCAAAAGGAATGGAAGCTAAAGTTTCTATGTATTTTCCTCGAGTACTAACCATTAGGCAGAGAAGTATTGTGTACGGAAGCATAGAAGGCTTATTCTCACCATTGCATTTAAATTTTGTTCAGGAACCCAGCCATCTGGAATTTAGATATGGTTGGTATGCTGGCTCTTATTTGTCATACAATTACTCACAAATCAAGCAGGCTGATGAGTTTCGGAAGAGAAGCCAGTCATTCAGCATCATCCGTTTTTCTCAGCAGTCTGTTTTGAGGTATCCAACAATTCAAGAAGCAGGAGGCTTCTTCACTCTATCTCAAATCTACGATCTCACAAATGAATTATACATTGATACAGAAGTTGCTTTTGTATCTGGTGTATCAATCAAGCTGGAAGTGCTCTCTATAGGTTCATATATTGCACGATATGACTTCCTGTATAAAGTTAGCCATGAAGGGATTTTGGCAGACGCTAAAACAGTATTCAATAATGACACTCTCCTGAATGTTTCAGTGCAGCTGACAGTCTTTGAAAAGTCCCCTGCATCTTCAAGCACAAGACGAAGATCTACCACTACTATGTTCGCAGAAGGGTTCTATGATCCTCATAATGGGATGATGTATTTGATTGGGTGTGGACAGGCTAACACAGGTGTTCACGTACAGGGTTTAGACTGCTTGATGGAAACAACAGTTCAGTACCCACCAAAGAATTTTCGATGGCTGAGGGATCCAACAATTGAAATTGATGTAAAAAGCCAAAGATATACTGATGATCCCCTCTACTTCCTTCCAATGAAAATCAAGAGCAAAACAATTGCATACGATATATTTAAACAGGACAATCATGAAGGAGATGTGGCATTCCGGAAGATCTTTGAAGGAGTTCTTCAGGTTGCAGTCCTTTTAGTGGACATTTCCATAATACGGAGTCAACAGATTTACATGGACCAATATACAGGCCTTGCTTCTTCTGTATCTTCTTATATGTTTCCCTTGCAGATTTTTAGCTATTGTATACTGCTAATCATTGGTAAAGAGATTCTATTGCCCTCAAAGGAAGCCGTCTCCTATCATCCATATGATCTTCTTGCATATCAACCAGTGTTAAAAGGGCTAGACTATGCTACAAAGCTTCTTGCATTAACAGCTCTTTTTCTCACCACAAGGCTTTTTTGCAATGTTACTAAATCCAGAAAAAAGCTAAATGAAGAGGAACCTTCCAACACACTGCTTACCTTTGGTGATTGGCATTACTTTCTCACCTTAATCCGGAGATTTATTTTTGTATATATAGTTTTTCTTGCATTCGTCTTGCTGTCTCCACTTAGGGAAGAAAAACACATAATGGAGATTGTTCAAGGCCAACTGGTTGGTTTGCTTACAGTATTTGGAAGCTGTTCTCGTAATCTGCCTCTCTCAGCCCATATTATTGAAAGCTCGCATTGGAAACACCAGGCAAAGTCTCTCCGTTTACTACATCGGGCTCCCATTGCTGCAGATTATGCTTAAAATCTATGATCATATCAGAAGTCCTATCTCCGACCCTTACATATCCAGAGAACCTGAATCTGAAGACCTGATCTTACTATCTGTTGACAGTTCGGTTTAGATAAGCCAAGTGATAATAGTCCATGTTCAACAGAACTTCAATTACTTTTGGCTTATCGACTGCTTAAAAGTTTGCCATCCTCGGAAATTGAAACAGCTGTTATTCAGATCAAGATTTCAATGACAACTATCTCTTTTCAAAGCTACTGGTAGCTGGGGTGCTTCCTCAAGCAACTTATTGAGAGTTGTCTTAAGATTGTAGCTGAATAAACTCAATTCTAGTTCTTTTAAGGACTTATATATTCTTACTTTTGTATCATTGATATTTTTTACTTTTTTCTGAACATTATGTGAAGTCACTACAGGCTTCATTCTGTTTTTAAGAAGGGTCAAGGGAGGCCTCAACCGAATAACGAACACAGGTTTCAACTGTCAACTTTCTTTGTAACTGTCAGAGACTCTGAATAACAGCAAATTTGTAACAACTTAAAAGCAACGTCTTTGAAAGTTCTATATTCAAGCCCTGAATAAAGAAAGAAAACTAGAAGAAGAATATTATAAGTGTCACATATGACATCATTCTGATGATGGAAACATCTGATAGTAAGGTTGGTGAGTAGTTTTCCATATATTTAGAAACTATTTTCACGCAAACACGAAGAACTTGTCGAAATTTCCAATGTCACATAGTGCCTTATAGTCAGCTCTTTGCCTTTCTTTACATCAATAATAGAATTGTAAATTCAATTCATTGTTTTCCTCCAAAATAATTGTAAACTTCGAGTTCCTTTCGGATGCATTATATATATTTTTCTAAAGAGAGAAAAGGAAAGAAGTAGGAAAGATCTTTTATAATTGTTTTAAGTATTCCTTTCAGGCAACTTCATTCTTTACTATACACATTAGAACCATTCAAAGAAGCTATTAATTAACACTCCACTTGGTATAATTCTATCATATTAGAACTCTCGGTAGATTTAGGTTACGCAAGAAATTAGACATTGTATATTCTTTGAGACTGCCTACATTTTATAATGATCACATACCGTGTATCAGTGTATACTCAGGAACAAAAAAAAACGAAGTCATTTATCTACTTTTATCTTTAATAATTCATTAACCTTCTTGAAGAAGTCACCAAGAATTCATATAAATTGACCTAAAAGAAAGCTCATGTATCAATTCCACAGCTAAATTCATGCTCTTCTCTAGGTTCACAAGGCACCAGAAAGATATAGGTTGATTTCTGCCTCATTCTTAACAAGGAGAATGGCTAAAAAGGTATTACATACTGTATTTAGTATTTACAGATACATTGAAAGTCTTGCCATGTTGTCTTTTTTACAGAAGTTATTTTCCTTCTAATGATTCAAGTCTTTTCCGACTTACTGATGCAGAAAACTGTTCTGAAAGTGGACAACAACAGCAAGAAAAGCCGGAAAGAGATACTTAAAGCAGTGGCCAAAGTTGAAGGTAAAAACAAACAAATTTTTTGTTGCAACATTTTAAGCTTAAAACTTTAAATACAATCTAATATCAAAATCTGTATATGTTTATAAACAGGCGTAGAAAAACTGGAAATGGATGTCAATAAGGGTACACTTACAGTTGTAGGGGAGGTTGAGCCAGTGCCACTTTTTAAGGCACTCAAGAAGATTGGACAGAGCCCAGAAATCATGAATGTAGGCCCGCCAAAACCGCAAAGATGTGGGCCCTACTGCTACTGCAGTTCATGTCGATCATCCGGTGATCAACAGCAGAAAGAAGGGTGGAGCTACCCTGCATATCCGTGCTCAGTACCCTGCAATAGGTCTTGGTGCAGGCACTGCGAGTTGGTTGCCGTGGAGTATCCTCCCTATTGTAATGATTCAGGGATGTGCTCAATTCAATGAGATATTCCCTCTGTTTCATGTAAAAACTTAGTATTTCTAATTTGTTGTTTCTTTCATTTCTGAAGTTGGTGCGGTAGTTGGGTGTACATATTTATATACTCGGAAATGTCATAAACAAACATATAATACATTCAGTATTTGACAAGTATTCTTATGTCTCATCTCTCATCTTGAAAACATATTTGGAGACATATGGTACAATGTATTCTGATTTTGGTAATGCTGTTAACCTATGGTATCAAGCAGTAGGCATTAAGCAACCCTACTAAGTATGATTTTCATCTTTTGTCAACCAAACGACCACTACGATGTCTAGCAGACTATCCATGCCATCCCCAATCCCCCACATTCCTTGGTTTAATTATATCTAGTTTAAAAGTTTGAAGGCTCACACGAATGAAACATACCAAACATTGAATATATACAGAGCTGGGATCTGTTGCAGAGCTAATTTCCAATAAGATGGTTACTTCTCGGTGCACTAATCTGCAATCAGAAACAAATGATGCCAAGAAACACTCCTACCTTCCATTCAGTTAAAATAGTGGGAATCTGAATCATTAACTATAACGAATACCTTTGAATATAGAAAAGAATGGAAATCAAGTGTGACAAACAAATAATGAACAGTCAAAATTATTATAATACAACATACAAGTCACCAATTAACCTAAAGACGGGTCATCTCTGTATAGGGTGCATCTCTCCTCATGGAGACTCGATTTACCACATAAACAGACAAACAGAAAGCAACCACTGAGAATAGGAGAGAGAAGGCAACAGCTGCATCCCAGGAGCTTGCTGTTGCAGTCCTGGTTCCAGTAAGTGTAGATCCTCCAGATATAAAATCCAATGGTAGCCAGTCACAGCTTATCGTGTAATGTCCTGAGCCATGCCATGGCTTGCCATCTTCTGGGTACCAAAAAGCTGCTGAGAACTTGCTCGTGTCACCAATCTTAAATTGAGCATCCTGCCATCACAAGAGGAACTTTTCGTTATGTTTTGAAGGACATATTTTACTTCACCTGTTAGGCTTGTTGTCACTTTAAGCAAAAAATACCAATTTTTCATTAGTTTACTTGTACCCGAAATTCACATAATTTTGATAAAAAGAGTAGAAAAGGATCAATTGGCTGCAAATATGCTAGCAGTCCTAGCACTTATGTAGCACAAATGGGCTGAAAAATGGATCACACACGATGGGAAACATAATTATTGTTGTTTGGTGCAAATATAATCTACAAGAGGCGATACCTATACTATAAGAAGACAGCTACTTTAATGACATGCTTTACACATGCATAACAGCATAAGTCCTCAAACTGTCCACACTGAAGCTCCATAGCCACAACATCAACATTAACATTCATTAGCCTAATAAAGGCTCCATCATGACAGGATGGGGGAGTCGATTGCATATGGCCATAACCATATTATACCAGAGGCTGTTTCCAACAACCCCTTGATCTGAAACAAATGACAAACACTCTAATGTGCCATCAATATCATCAATAATAATCCAAAGCCAATTTAATAAATTCTTTTGGATTTGTTGGAAAGGAAAATGATTACGCCTCAAGGAATAATGCATGCTACAACAGTTAGGCTATAGAAGGATCGCAGAATTCAAACCAATTCAACAGGCTTGAGCAACAGAGCAAAAAAAATAGCCAACTAAAAGTTAACTGTGCTGGTAAATAGCCCAACTAAAAGTTTCCGGAATTTTTGTTTTGAAGTTTGGTGACATGGAAAACTTAGCGCAAATACAGACTATAACTGAAGTATTCCAAACCACAAGGTTACTATAAATATGTAATTCTTCTTTTGGAGTTCTAGAAGCATGAGTGAAAGAGAGTGATGAAATACCTGTTGAAACCGATCCATGGTCCTCAAAGGCCTTGAAAATTCAAAGTAATAAGTTCCTTTCTTTCCATTTGATGCATATGGACTGTCTTCGTCCACAAAACCTATCAATGCAAGATCAAGTAATGGTTTAATCATCATCAAACACAAAAGTTCAAACTTATATTAAAACTTATCTAATGAGTTAATATATTTAATCATCAAGTGCTTTGAATTTTCAGAGAAGATAATTGAAAGAAAGAATGAAACCTGAGTGAACATTGAAGCTGCTGTGCCACCAAGCTCCTTTCCAGTCATTCTGAGCAGTGTTATTGGTTCCTGAAGAGATGTCAGCATTGAAAAACATGTTCATGCAAACGCTATTAAAGTGGAGCAGACGGAGAATTACAGAGAAGCAGAAGCCATGGGAATTGGGAACGTAAATAAAGACTATATAGCAGGTAAACGCAAGTCAATGAACATCTTCAATAAATTGCCACTCAACATGACCTTTATGTGGAATAATTATATTTTTTAAAAAAAAGGCAAGCATGAAAAACGTTATCACCCAGCTAGAAGAATTTAAATCTAGGAGCATGTGATAGAATGAAGGAATTATGTCTCCTATCTTTTCAGCAGCCGAAAAGGCAAAAAGGGTTATTTAACCAAAAACAGCACCTAGGAGTTGCTAAGGGATTCAACATGATTCCTCTCCTCTACCCCTCACCCCCTTTGTTTGTCAACAAAGGATAATTTTCAGCTTTGCATGTTTTTGCACAAGCTTCAATGAAAAAAAAAAAAACCCCATAGTTGATCACTGACAAAACATGAACTAAGAAATTTTCAGACAGAACCTCAGAAGAGAATCCACAAGACCACAAGTCAACGTACCATGATCAGGAAAAAAAAAAAGCATCTTGCATAGTCATATGCAAAGAATATATTAAGTTGAATATCCAACCTGAAGGCCCAAGTCCATCAAGGTATCGACAGTGTGGGTTCCAGGAATAAACATCAACCAAATGACCAAATCTACACAAGGGAAAAATTAAGAGGTTCATTATGAGGTCCATCAAATACATTAGTTACTCACAATGAACACAAAGAAATATAAATACTATACCTGTCACCGCCAGTTCCAACATCAACCAAGTTTCCACCATATAAACGTCCAGGAATAGCAGTTCCTATTGAGAAGTGCATAAGGTCAACTTCATAGCCGCGGCAAGTCTTATTGGTACAGGACTCAGGAGACTCTTTACAGCCACCCATCTGATATACAAAGACAAATTTGGTGGTTACACTAACATGATAAAAGGAAAAAAATGGAAAACAGCAAGTCAATAAAGATGCTCACATTATGATAGGTAGCATTCTCACCAATCTGAAACATGAGAGCAGCAGATGGACATTTGTTATTATTGCTGCATTAAAGTAAGTAAATAGTCAACAAACAGGTTGATAAAAAGTCAATAACTGAAAAACTAACAATTGAACTTTAACCCACAATACAGGATTTGCTTTACAATTCATTTTAATCAGACAGTGAACATCACTAAATTTATGCTGACTTAACAGGTCATTAGCGAAACAAAAACTACAAGGATAAAGAAATGAACAAACCAAAATGAAAAACTCCGTATTAAGAAACAATCAAGATGGCAGTTTAAGGACAAAAAACCAGTGCATTTCCTGAAATAATTAAAAGTTAAGAACTCACTTGCTACCATCAAGGTTATAACAAAACAAAACCCTGAGAGTAATATAAAAATCACGTGATATTATTGAGCAACAACATCAACCAAGACTAGCCTCTATCATCGTCCAATACTATGCATCTAGATATCAAATGGCAGTACAGATTTTACAAGTGAGTGAAACGACCAAATTTCAAGCCCTTTCCAAGGAACTAAAGAAGCAATTTCAAGTTTAACATATATTGAACATGTTTCTCAAGCAACTAAGCTCGGGGTGTGGGAAGAATCTACCATATATATCAGTTTTTCTATTTACCAGCATCTCCAATCAAATTGTTCCCATCACATAAAGTGCGTCTAAAATTAGTGCAAGTCTTATGCTAAAACACTAAAGTAAAAGAAATGGCAGTTAGGCCCTATTCAATTCACCTAATGTTACTTATTTCAGCAAATAGTAGTTCAGGAAAGATAAGTTCTCATAAGGATTTATAAGGTTACCCAAGTTCATTTTACAGCTAAAATAAGTTCTAATAAGTTCAGTTAAGTAAAAATCAGGTTACCAATATAACACACCCTTACTCTAGAAATGACAAGTAGAAGTAGAGCATAATAATCAATAGTTTACCCTTGGGAGTAAGCATATTCTCCATCAACTTGCAACAAAAACACCACATCTTTGCCATCATGTAGTGCCTGCAAAATGTAGATCAGAGATAGATCACTAACATCACTCAAAACTCAAACTAATACAGCTCGAAAATCGAAATTCAATGCAAAAACCAATTCAAATCAATATTACTTCGTATCAAACAAACCCAAGAATCCAGAATACATAAACCATCAAAGTTCAACTTAGAATTTTCAAGACTCTATACACTATAAACCCTATAAATCAAACGAACCCAGAAAACAACAATAACCCACAGTATACAAATCATCAAAGCTCAAATTAAATTCCCAATTTTCTTAATTCTTTGCAATTTTTCATAATTCTAAGCAGCATTAAAGTCCAAAATTGACAACAAAAACCCAAATCATTCAAAAACCCAGAAACCAAAATCAACCCACAATGCAAAAACAACCAAGCTCAAATCAAAAACCCCAAAACAAAATTCAAAAAACTTGAAATTTTCAAATCAAGATATACCTTAACAGTCATTTTACCACCCTTATAAGCATCATCTTCATGTGGGTCAAGAGCAAGCAAAAGAGGGAAATCAAACCCACCAATGTCCTTCCATTCATCAGGGTGCCCATCAATAGTGACAACACCAGGTCGATACTCAGCGACGAGGTGGGTGCCCGAGTCGGATGACTCGCAACTCCACTCGCCAGATTCGTTGTGCGAGTATACGAGTTGAAATGAGAGGGTATGAATAGCTAGAAGAAATAGAAAAAAGGGTCGAAACATTAACATCCTTTTTCTGTAAAAAAGGGCAGCACAAAATGAAGGAGATCTTTGAGTGCGATGAGAATCAAGTGGTGATAGTTGGGTAGTTGAGAATGGCGCAGGCAACTTTTGTTGACTTATGTTGTCTTTTAATCTCAACTTTTACTCTTGAATTTGACTTTTCTTTCTTGTTAAGCATTTTAGTAGTCTAGTACTGTAGGGCAAAATTACTTCTCGTGCAGTGGGAAACTTGAGATGATTTTTTTTACCAAATTATCACTTGAGGTTGATTTTTTTACAAAATTGTTGTCAAAGCTATTTTTTTTACAAAATTATTGCTAAGGGTCTTCTTTATTTACCAACCTTGTCAATTTGCCAAGTTTTCTTTAATTTTTCTCTCTTTGTTCTCTCTATATGTTCTCTCTCCTC